GACACTTGGCCAAGACATTTTCAAAGGAATCTGAACTGCAGCATGATGCCCAGCAGCATCCTCGTGGGCCTCGATCTCCACCTCCTATCAAAAATACTTCTGCCTTAGAAACTAGTGAAAATTTGACTTCTGTCAGTCCCCAGAGAAAGGAGAAAGTCAGTGAGAATAGAATAGTAGATCAGTTTTTGTTGTGTTTATGTCATTGCTATTTGTTGCTTCATATTGCTCTCATATTTTTTGAAGTGTTGTTTCCTGTTGTACTAATGCGTTGTTTCATATTGTACTGAGATGTTCATAATGTACTGATACGCTATTTCATATTGTACTAAGGTGTTGCCTGCTTGTTTGTGTTAGTTTAATATTATAGTGAAATAAATTGTTATAAAATGCTATGTTACCATGAAATGATTGTATTTGTTTTTTGTTGGGTTTACAATTTTTGCATTACCATTTCTTTTGTGTTAACCAAACTGATTATTATTCTTTATCTGAGCTTTCAGCTTTCCTTGAAAAGTATGTTTTTTGATAAATTATTAGATGTAAGTTAACCTTATCTAGCATGAAAATTTTGGCATGGACGGTAATGACAATGTTAATTTAATTAATTCTGATTGTTTCTCAGAATCAATTACCAAATTTTCAATTCTCAACAAACAATTATGGCTTAATTTTGAACTTAATAGGGATGTGCTGGTTTAAATAATTGTAATGACTATGTAGTGTGTTTAAAGCTGGCAGAGCTATTATGCTAGCTAGTCTTTGCTGTATTATGATTTATTAATTTTAAGATTACCCTGTTATATAATGTACATGAAACTATGATGTCAACATATGTTACTTGCTTGTTATGAACTCTATCTATTATTACAACAGTCAAAGCAAGCCCTCCAGAATAAAATATTGACAGCAACATTGGAGTTAGAACAACAACAACAGCAGAATCAACAACAACAACAAATTTCATCCGAGAATCAAGCAATGGATGGAGATGGGGATGAGTACGGCTACAATGTTTCACCCAAACAGCAGGTAAATAAACAATCAAATAAAGCTGTTAAAAGTTCAGTTCAGAAGAGAATCGCTACAGATGATAATGCCATTAGCTCTGATAATAACCAAAATAATAGTGTAAGCAATGCTGGCTTGGCTAGAAAAGAATCAGATGCTGCCAATGAAAAGCAGGTTTTTAGAGTTTGTTTATCATTTTTATTATTATTTAGATATATTTAAACAATGAATGTTAACTATTGATTTTGTATTCAGTTTTTCAGCTCATGCATAAATTCAAATGCTGAACATTTTTTAATTATAATTTAAACTGTATGTATTGATTTTTAAAAACATGTTGGATGTTTAATTATTTAAAAAAAATTTGTAAAATCTGATAATTCATTTTTGCCTTGGAAAACTAACAACAGTTTAATGAATGGATTCCAATATCTGGTAATGTCCCTGAAAATAGCATGGGCAGCTTGAACAGTTCACTAACAAGGAAACAACAGCTTCAACAACAACTCCAACTTGTGCTCAACAGAGAACAGCAGCAACAACAATCAGCAACTGCAACTACAAGTGCTCCAGTAAGTGCGACGTCAGCTGTCAGCAGCAGTGTTGGTGCATCGAAGGCTGAATCCTATACAGTCTCTTATGATATAGGAAGTTACTATAAAAAATATTCAAACATATACAAAAAAGATAAGCATGAAATTGATAATGAATATAACCAAGATACTGGCTTAGCAAATAAATTAGATGCCAACAATAATAGCACTGCTACTTCTCAGCAACAACAACAACTACAGCATTCCAAACAACAGAACTTGAAAAATGATGTTGCAAATAGCATTACTAATGCCGCTAAAGATATACCAAATGATAAGCATGACAGAAATCGTAGCAGGTTCTAAATTAACTACTTTAGTTTTAGTTTTATTTTTTCAATGTAATAATAGTTGATGATTATTTTTAATTTTTGTCTAAATTTTTGAGGAAGTTAACTTTAATATATATTTTTATAATAATTTACAGGCAGTCAAAAGATTATGTTATGGCCAGTAATGATGATGATATTGCTGATGTAAACCTAGAAAGCAACATTTCTATGCATAACAAATTGGCTAGACAGGCCAGAAAAAGAAAGCATAGCATTCAAAATAAAGATGTTTATATGGCTGCTGATGCAAAGACAATCATGAGAGATGATGGTGAAGATGATGAGGATGATGACGGTGGTGCCATTGAAAATGATTATAGTGATGGTGATAAACATAGTTATTCAAGGTTTGTAAAGTTCGTTAACTATTTTATTTTGATGCACCACATTATATTAACTGTATTTGTTTAAAAAAGCCACAATGCAAATGTTAGTTGACGACATATTTTATAATACCAGATATGATGGTTACAATGATGAGACTAAATCAAAAAAGACAAGCAGTAGACAGCAACGACAAGATGATAGGAAACAACATCAGCAGAGAGATTATGTTGATCATCAGATGAATGCTAACATTGACAAAATGAATGGCGGCCACCCTGGGAAGATGTCCTTACTAGGATTGTCTCAAGAGAAGATGTTGCTCATCAAGGACAAGAAGGAAGAGGTAGAGAAGGTTGGTAAAATTCCTCTTGACTACTTCTTATGTATTAAGGTTTTATGTTCTGATTTGATAAAAGATGCATTTTGTGGTTAAAATAACTTAAATTAACATCTTAATTCTACCTTTTTTTTACCTTGTTGGTAACGTTGATAAAACTACCTAAAACCACCACCTGTCCATCTAGTTTATTTTATTGGGAATAAATGCATATTTTATGAGCATTGAATAACCAAGCAATTTTTGAAGCTTTTTAACCAAAATTATAAAGTTTTTTTTACTATTTTGATTAATTATAATGACATAAATCATAGGCAATAATTTTCTGTTTAGAATTCCATTAGTGAGCCACATTTAAAATCAGATTTTTGTTACAAAGCAGGATATTCCTGAATAATTATGTTTTTATAATATGTATTAATACCTTTGTTCAAAAATTTTCAGCATCAGTTTTTTAGACAGCAAGCACACACACTACATGTCTTCACCAGTGTTTTTTTATCATATCAATCAATCAATCAATCCTCGTTTATAATCTCCATCTGTTATGGATCAGACTTTTTTATTCCATTCATCAGTTTCTTTCTCCCAGTCGATCTATCCATTGCGTCTGTTTCCTTGAGTCCAAGTGCCTTCAAGTCCTCCTGTATGGTCTGCGTCCAGGACTTTTTTGGGCGACCTCTTGGGCGGGTGCCAGGCACATGGTGCTCAGTAACGGAAATTATTGTATCGTGTTCGCTTCGTTTCACATGGCCAAACCATCGTAGGCGATGACGACGACATGCATCCTTCAACAAGCATAGTCCCGATCGGTTCAGGATCTCGGTTTTATGGATATGGTTCCTTAGGTCTACATGCTGCATCCAACTAATTATCTTCATGTCTGTTCGGTGAAGCTGCTGTTCGAGTTTTGTTGTAATCAGCCACGTCTCTGCACCATACATCGGAACAGAACGTATAGCTGTGTTGTATAGCTCTGAGCGCAGCGGTAGAGGAATGCTACGCCGCATCAGTGCCGAGGCAAGGAGGTGCCATCTATCTCACGCCCCACATATGCGTCCACGAACGGCGACATCAGCTATTTCAGTACAATCCAGCACATCTCCCAAATACTGAAATGAAGTAACAGTTTCTATTCCGGTAATAGTATCATTATCTAGGCTCCGTTGTCGCGGATTGATGCAGGCGGGACATGCGAAATCAGTCACTTTCTTCAGTGAGCCGTTAATTTTCGAGCATCGTATGTGACACCGCTGCTGACATCGTAGATGGACGCCGACGTTAATATCAAATTCATTCGTGTTACCGGCTGTTGTGCTGACCAGAGTTTTTGTGTTAGAGTACGTTGCCATTACCAACCGAACCAGATATTCGGGAACACTGATTGCCTCACGAGGCACTCTGTTAAAAGCCTTTTCCAAGTCCACAAAGACATGGAACAGTCGCTTTTGCTTTGTCAAGTATTTTTCTTGTAGTTGACGAATCTGGATGCTTTGAGTCCCATTTTGAATCTTCTCCGTCACCTGTGAATCCATCTCTGTAGGACTTGAAGTAGTTTCTTATGGAGAGAATGTAGTATGCAAAAGAATGTTTATGTAGAATAAGGCTGCGTGTCACTCAGTCCAAAATTTTTCCTCAGGTCAACCAGACCAGGGGCATGAAAGAGACATTAAGACAACCGAAAATGACCGCAGCTGCGGAACCCCGCCGGAACCTTCCAGATAAATAGAAATCCGCCAGCGCTTGAGATTGGGCTTGAGATTGGAGTTTGTTTGTTCCTAGAAGGAATGCCAGGTTTGTTTCTTATCTCAACTGGTTATAACGCCAATAGCTTGCTTGCGTTAAGCGTGTGAGGCAACGTGTGCGCCAGTTGTTGGTCTTTGGAGTAAGGCCATTTCTCAGGAATTTTTCACCAGCATCATCGACTTGTGTGAGAGTCAGGCTTCAATTCTCCCGCATATGCGACCGTTAAAACGCACGCATACGTTTACACATTTTTTAACGTATGTGACACTATACTTGATGATTTTAAAAAGTGGTTGATGTTCTTTATTGCGAGCAATCACCTTGAAACAGCCTAAAGTTGGGAACAATTAATCTTCGTTTTGCGTCCAGAGTCCCGGTTCCACATATAAAATGCACACCAATTTTTATATTATTGTTTTTATATTTTTATAATCAGTTAAACTAGTGTAATTAGTAATTTTATGTTTTTGGCCACAGTTTATAATGAATAAAAACATTGAAAATGAAATAAATAAAAAATATTTACCTTGTTTTGAATGAGTTAAAGAGTCAAACAAGAATTTCTTTAAAAATATACTTTTCATCATGGGCGTTTGTCAACATTTTTTTTAAGGAATTTATCTTATTTATAATAGTTGTAAAATTTTCTCTTGTTAAAAGGCTTACAGACAAGATTGTGAAACGTTTGCAACTGTTACGAAGTTATTGATAAGTAAGGATCCGTTGTTAGAAGAACGCATCCAGAAGAGTCTTCGTGAAAACCTGAGAGACATTGGACACAGATGTGTGCAGGAACTGAGAGAGTTTGTTGATCACATTAAGAACAGCGATGTTGAAGACGTTGATGACATTGTTAGTCGTGGAATCAGGGATATATCAGATTTCTAATATTCGTTTGATGTGTTTTATTATAATCTGAATATACTATGTACGTAACATTATACTTTGGTTAACTGCGGTAAGGTGTTAAGGGGCAAGTATGATCTGTTGCATTTGAATGAGCTTACACTAAATGCATCCTACTTACTGAATACATTTTTAATTTGTTGAATATATTTTATTATAGATGTTCCGTTAATGACTGAAACATTGAATTTGTGTGTAAAATTTTGCCAATCTGTTTTTGTATGATTTTCTAACTTGTTAATTATAATTGGTGATAAATATAGCATGAATGTTATCTCCATTGTTTTGTTTAATTTTTAATTTTTCTTTCAACAAATTTTTAAATAATGTCGATGTTTTTTTCCTATTTCATTTTGTTGAACAAGCCAACTAAAACAGCGTGTAGATAGGTAATTTAAATAATACATCAACCAATTTTATAATAGCGTTTGAAGTGGCACTCCACCGATAATGATATTAATCTAGATGATGAAAGTTTTGGAGAATAAAGATTTCTTTAAAAAAATGCTTTACCAAATTATTTTTATAAACTGAGTTAAAAGTGAATTCATCTTGCTTTTAGCGCGGAAAAATCTCCCATCAATCCTCCTCTATATTCAATTGATCTGCAATTTATTTCATAATTGAAATACTAGCTAGCTAAACAATCTTGGCGCTTTTACATGCTTTGAAAAGCTTTTTTCGGCTTTAGCAACTAACCGTTAATTTTATGGATATCCAAAGAGCTATGGGAAGATTAGAAAAAACTCATTTATACCAATTTTTTGCATTGACTTCACTCTAATCCTTCAACATTACGAATACGATTTTATCCATAAGTTTGATTCTGCTTTCGTCTGTTTCGCTACTAGATGTAGATGAAGTCCTCAATTTGCTTCAATATTAATTTGTCATCTCATTTTTTGCTGTTATATTATCAAATATAATATTTCGACAATTTTTACAATTTTTTCTTATTGGTCGTATTGGAGTGTCCAATGTGGCAATATCCTATTAATATCCTATTATTTTTCCAGTCATACTATGAGATTATCGATACCTTATAGTAAGGAGACAGACAATAAAAAATTTTTGCTCACCCCAAAACCTAGCCAGCAACCACTATGCTAGATTCATTAGTATAGTAGTGTAGATGATATTTTGACCGATGGGTACTTTGTATGAGTGGGATTAACTTTCGGAAGCTATTTTGTTAAATGGCGAATCCAATTTTATTGCGAAAACTGCTCAACCTATTTGAGTTTGGTCTCAAATTATAAGTTTTTGAAGTCGCAGAATTCGACAATGTTATTATTTTTTATTAAATGCAAACCAATTTTCATTTTAAAAATTGGGCATTATATTTGGTGTAAAATTATTTGTATCTAAATAATGATTTGTAATTCAAGAGGAGCAATTATATTTTTCTTGTTCAAACAAAAGCAACATACACTTTAGCATTAAAAACGAAATATAAAAGGGTAGAGGTTACTCTGTCTCTTTTGCGTTAGCTTCAGAGGTTTCAACGACAAACACACACAGCGTATATGAATACGCGTGCAAACCACGCATCATACACATTGCATATATGCATACACATATGCAATGTGTATGATGCGTGGTTTGCACATTGCATATGATAGGTGGGGATCTCTTTGTATTCGAACCCAGTCATTGCAATAGCAAGACTAGGTGCCTTTAACCATTGGGCCATCACGCCGCCCGTAAGAATTTGTAATACAATGTATTACAAATGTTTTTTAATAATGTGAAATTAAAGCTACAATCCTTCATCTACATCCACATTATCCAGGTTTGAATATATGCTTTTACCATGTTGAAGAAAACAACCACACACTTTGAGACACGATAGCTTGTTCACAGTACACACACAGATCGTACGTCCGCATTGCACGAGTTGCTTGTATGTAGTTGGAAATGGGTGTTTTTCCATTAACTTGGGTTTTAATTCACCATTATCATCATACCACACACCCCCAACAGCGGTTTAGACTCCAAAGCGTTTCTCCACACAAATGCTTGATAATGGGCTCGATTAATGTGTAGTTACAATGAATCGAATGTAGGAGAAAGCCTCCTCCAATATCATTTCAAATGTATTGTTAAAGAAATGTATTGCATCGGTATTGCATCGGTTTTGCGATGGTTGAAAAGCTGATAGGGGACATTATGTTGATGTACATGGATGTCAGTCACAGATCAGATCAGTTGAAAAAGGTGTTCTCCATGGATCTATTTTGGGACCATTACTGTTTAATGTGTTTGTAAATGACATGGTGCGTTCATCTCAGAAAGCTCAAACTTATACAATTTGCAGATGACACCAAGTGATGTTGAAGGGTCGGGACATTGAAGCATTGGTGATAGAAATGAGTGCGGAACTGGATTTCAATTTAAATTGGTTCGAAGCAAATAAATTGATCGTTAATTGTGGGAAAACATGTTGCATGTTATTTGGTCCAAGGATTGTGACTAACTTTATAAATTTCAAACTATTTATAAAAAATAAAGAAATAGAACAAGTATCATCAACCAACTTTCTGGGCATTGTCATAGCAAATAATCTGTCGTAGCTAGAGCACATCACTTACATTTTGATTAAAATATCAATAAATCTAGGAATCATAAATAGAATAAAGTACAAATTCCCACGAAATATAATAACATCTCTCTACAATACTCCCATAAAGCCATATTATTCATATTGTTTGATTATATGGGTAACAGTCCCATCTCCCATATGCATATAAAAGAAAAAACACAAAAACAAAATATAAGAATTTTGCTTGGTTTAAAAAAGTTCGATAGAACTAGTCGTCTTTTCAAAATAACAAAAACTACAACAATATCTCAAATGTGTCAATAAACTTTAATTACGAAAACAAATTGCTGGAGTTTCAATAGAATAATCAACGATCATATGAATCGATCAGAAAGACTTCTAAGAAGATATCAATATTTTTATATTCCTAATCCACTTACATCTTTATATTTTAATAGTCCTTTAATTAATATTCTAAAACTATTTAATAAATTGCCATGTAAAATTAAAACTATCATTAACATTCGATATTTAAAAAAAATGATCTTAATCTTTATTGACAATTTTTAAAAAATTTGTTACCTTATTTATTATGTTGTATCTATTAGGCTAACTTGCATTATATTATATTAATATTTCTCTTCTTTGGTTGATTTTAGTCAAAGTTGGTTTTAATTTTGTACTATTGGTTGATTGGCTTTACAAGCGCAGGTATTGTGCTTCAGCTTTTTTGTCAAATAAATTGAAGTTGAATTGAAAAAGCATGGGAAAAAACAGAGCGTTAAGTGCTCCGCTCATTTCATTATTTTGTTGATTCGTCATTTTTTGTAGAACGCAGTAGTAGTAGTAATTTGAATGGTGAGACTCACACGAGTTCATAAACATCGCCTGTAGATTCCTTTCAGATGTCAATTTATTTAATAAGTTTTATCGATTAATAATGAAGGAATGAATGATAAGAATACACGGAATAGCAGGAAAGCACGTGTCGGTGTTAGTAGCATGGAACAATTCTAATATATTCATAATAATGAATCAAAAAAGAATTTTGGAAATGAGACTCCCAGATGAAATGTCGCATGGTTTATTTTCACAGCTCTGTTTTCTTCTCAATCAATTAATCAATCAATTAATTAGCTTGTAAAGTGCTATTTCCGCGATGTTCAACAGCGCTCCACAATAAATTTTGAAAACAGATGGGTCTTGAGATCCGCTCTAAACTTCGCAAGTGATGGAGAAGTAGTTAGAGAAGTAGGTAGAGAGTTCCAGAGAAAAGGACCAGAAAAAGCAAAAGCAGATTTGGCAAAAGAGTGTTTAATACGAGTTAAGAAAAAGCGAGAACAAGAAGACGATCGTAAACTGGGACGTTTAGGTTCAATTAATATATCTGATAAATACTTAGGAAATAATTTAGATTGAGACTTATACATAAACGTGCAAATTTTATTTTTTTCTATATTTTATAGGTAGCCAGTGCAAGGGAATAAGATATGGAAATATATGAGAAAAGAAAGGGGCACGAGCAACTAGACGAGCAGCAGAGTTAAAAGCTTTACTTAAAGGATAGAGTATAGAGTCAGGAAGACCATAGTAGAGCGAGTTACAATAATCAATCCTAGATAAGACTAACGAAGTAACAAGAAGGAGAAGAGTAGGATCATCAAGAAAAGGCAAAAGTTTTTTATTCTACGTAGATGAAAGTAAGAGCTTCTAGCAACACTATTAATCTGAGAAGAGAGAGACATAGTAGAATCAAAAATAAAACCTAGACTACGAAACTTATGAGGGACATCAGAGTTTTAGAATCAGGTAAGATAATAGGAGGAATAGTAGTAGAGTGTTTAGATTTATTAAAACAAATTAATTCAAACTTAAAAGGATTAAGTTTAAGACACATACCGTCAGACCAAGCGATAATTGAAGAAAGACATAGAGATAGATTAGGTTGTAAGTGTGATGTGGATATCAAGGGAAGGATATATATGGCGAAAAATGCATATTCTAAAATGAAAAACATCCTCACTAACAGTAAAATCAGAATATCAACAAAATTAGAACTGTTAGTGTTACATTTTTCCTGTGCTCATACGGCTCTAAGTCCTGGACAATTAAAAAATATGAAAAAAAATATTAATGCTGCTGAGATGTGGTTTTTGAAAAAAATTATAAAAATTAGTTAGACCTTTCATACCTCCAATGAGGATATATTAACCAGTCCGATTATGAAAAGATTATTAAAAAAAATTATTAAAAATAATCTGACGGGGGCAGTTAAAGTTTTTTGGTCACATCATGCAGAAAGAAGGGATGGAAAATCTTACAACTATGGAAAGTTTGCAGGGAGAAGAAATCGCGGTCAACAATAAGTTACATTCGTGAAGTCCTTGCGTCACTTGTTGAATAACACCACATTTCTTTTTGGTTTTGGTGGGTTTTGCGGAGGTTAATGGTCGCCAATGTCTTGAAAGGTTAAGGCACGAGAAAGAAGAAGTTTAATTATAGAATAACAAACCTATTCTAAAAATTTATGGAATCAATTCATAAAAGAATATTTTCAAGTTTTTTGTAAAATACAAAATTAAACAAGAATAACCTACTAGAAGTTTTTTTAGGTATTCTAAGCGTAAGATACGTATTTTGCCATATATATTAATTAATATATATATGCATTTTACAATATGTGTTTTTGGTTATAAACAGGCAATTGTATCATGGCCAAGTGTCAAAACGTTTAGTTTTTTTTCTCTTCGGTAGGTGCGTTCTGCGGATGAAATAAGATAAAATGTCGTCGCGGGTGTACGTTCCTCCAAGTAGCGATACCTTGTTTATTCGGGGCTTTTCGTATCATCACAGAGTTGAAGATATCAAGTTGGTTTTTTTTTTAATTTAAATTTTAAATTCAATTTATTCAGTCAGAGTTCCCTGAAGAAATAATCATGACCTGATTCATTGTAATCATAATCAAGTAAACGTGTAACTATGATAAGTACAATTTAGTGTAGACATAGAGATAGTTGATAAAGAGTCACTGTCATAATATTGCATGGCATAGTGGTTCTTTTCTTGTTGAGTTGAGTGTTGCCCTGTTGCCATTCTTGAATGCATGTTATTTTTTAATTAAATTTATTCAATTTAAAAAATTTAATATATCTCGTTTTGTTTTATTTTTGCTTGTCAGTGTTAGTGTTGGTGTTGAGGTTTGAGCAGTTGGCTGAGTGACTTTTGGCAGAGTATCTTGCACATGCATGTTATTTTTTAAATTTAATTTTATTTAAATTTAAAAAATTTAATTATATATCTCGTTTTGTTTTATTTTTACTTGTCAGTGCTAGTGTTGTTGTTGAGGTTTGAGCAATTGGCTGAGTGGCTTTAATGGCTTTAGAGTAATGGCATTTAGAGTATTGCTTATCGCATTTTTTTTTATTATTCTTTAAAATCAGGATCTAACAGATGCAGAAACTGTTACAGCATGCAAGTCAGTAGTATAAAAATTAACTGAATAGTTAAATAAATACATAAAACTACGGTGAAAGAAAAATGTTTAAACATGAAAATTAAAATAAAATAGAATAAAATAAATAATATAATAAAATGAATTGACAATAAAATAAAGTAATAGCATATAAAAAGACAAATTAATAGACTAGATGACTTAGTAAGTTAGTGAGGTGATCGATAAATAAAATCGTTGACAGAGGTTTTGAGGTTTGTGAATATTATGTTGACTGATTATGTGTATTATAATAATATTCCCAATTAGCCAACACAATTAGATCCGCTAGCGCTAGCATAACATTCTGAACCGCCATAATATACACAGTCTGCCACTCTGATATGTAATATCCCGTTCAGCGAACATAATATAATTAATACACATTTAGCTAGCTTAATATTCTTAATCAGACAACATCAAATCTCCAAACTTCCAAACCTATCACCATTTGCCAACAATTTTAATGCAATAACCCATAAGGCAATAAAGCCACTCAGCCTATTTAAATCCACTCAGCAACTCTGCCAACTAATCAGACCCTTTGGAGTTGGGTAAATTCCTGGATTCGGATCCCAGATCAGAATTCGGAACTGTCACATTCCTAGTTTAAATTTAATATTACTGATTAATTCTTATTTGTTTGCAGCTTAATAGTGTTTTAATGCAGAGGGCTTTATGATCTTTAGTAAACAAAATAGTGATTTTTTTGTTGTAGTTCGGTTTTGTTCTGTCCTCTAAAAATTCAAATCTTGTAAATCATCCTTATTTCCAGCAAAAATGGGAGACTGATTTCCTTCTGACTTTGATGTAATTATTTTATGATGAATTGTTAGTTTATTTTTGCAAATTGCACATGTAGGTTGTTTTCCTTATTAAAGATCCAGGAATGAGTAATTGCTGAGTCTCTTATTTTCAATCTATTTGTAATAGTTTCAAGAGGACGACTTAGGTTGGCTTTAGTTAATTAAATATTAATTAATTTCATGATTTTTTAAAATTCATCACATCAATGAGTGATTTGATTGGTCAGTGATTTGTTAGTGCTCCACTGCAAGTGCTATACACAAAATTCACTTGAAGTTGTCTCCATGATAAAATATGAAACAAATGAAAACTTCTCTTTAATATAATGCAATTATATTTTATCTTTTCACAGTGGGTAGATGGGGTGAAATCCTGATGTTTAATTTTGTTTGAATTTACTTTAAAATTATTGAAGCCCAGTTATTTTTCTGCCAAGGATTTCAATATTAGCATTGAATAATTAAACTCAAGTATTATTTGCAATATAGGGAAAACCAAATGTTTTTCAAGTTTTACCACTAAATGCAGCCATCACGTTGAACCCAATTTGTCAAAACATTTCCTTTACAAGAAAGATGGCTACACACATAACCAATTCTACCAGCATCGATTCATATAACATGTGTGCCAAGCAAACCGACAACGCACGTGAGCCATTCATTCAAAATGCGCACCATAAAAACTTAAATTTGTTAGTATACTGTCAAACATTTTAATTTTGTGGTTGGTGGCTATCAAGCTTCTCTGGCTAAATACTCTCTTCATAGGAGCACTAGAAGCTTGCACATTCATCATTCAGCCAATAAAATATTATGTTCATTTAATTTTGATGTATCAAAATCCAACTGGGTCTCTGGGTGCTAAGCGAAGATTGATTGATTGATTGAATTCAACTGTTGCAGACCTCAAGTGCATTATTTGTCCTGCACACCTGTTTTTAAGCCTTCAAAGTTAATCTTTGTGATATTATCCAAACTGAATATTTTTTCCAGGTCTATTTGAAGTTAGAGTTTTGATCATGGTGATGCAGTCCAGCAACTATTTTATTTTTCCTGCTTTTTCCGTGAAATGCCAGTTTATCTTTTTTTAATGGCATCACGTTCATTTTTTAAAATCTTTAATTTGCCAACATACTCAATTTTTAAATAAATTTAGGTTAAAATTGCACAAGTCCACAACCAAATGATTTTGTTATTTATAGTAATGCTGGTGCATTTTTTTCTTTAAAAAATGGTTCAAAAATTTTGGTGAAAATGAAATAAATGCTTCTCACCTCACTTATTTACAAATAGTTCCCTTCTTTTCTGGTTTGGCTATCATCTAAATTTATTTTTTGTTTTTGGGTTTTTTTTTGTTTTTGTTGTTTTGTTTGATAAACATAACATTTTCAATAACAATAAAACATTTACCGTGGAATTTTTACGTTGTTCCAACATTCAAACATCAGTCACAAACCCTCAAAAATGTGATGTGGTACCCACATGTATAATGCTATTTTTTATTTTGCCAGGGATTTTTTCTTTAAAGAAGCTGGTCGTTGCGCAGTAGAATTCAATAAAGATGATGGTAACAATGGTCAATATATTGCTTTGAGATTTGAATCAAGAGAAATTGCTAAAGATGTTTACAGAAGGTTTGCTTAGAATAACATTTTTGGAGTAGTAATCAATTGTAAACTTGTTTACAAGTTCATAATCTTATATCTGACTTTATTTAAAAATCATTTTAGCTAGTTATTCATCACAATTCAATTACATAACCCATTAATACGCAAGAAAAGAAGAATTTTTGATATTATTTATCATTCCCTTTGAAAGCAAGATAGTTAAAAAAATTGATATGGCGTCACTTGGAAAATATTTAAACATTGTGTTTAATGATAACATGGTAACGCATGCAACAGCCAATGAAATAATTATTTGAGTTTTTTCAGAATATTTATAACCTTTGTGCAAGGTGGATTGTTAGTACACTCTATGTGGTTACCATTTCATTTTGTTTTAATTTGCAACAGGATTGATGATAATTACGTTAGTTGATTTTTTATCTACGTTTTTATGTGGATATAATATTTCAATTCAGGTTTAATGATAGAGAAGTGTTAGGGGATAGAATAACATTAACATGGTACAAGGAACTGAGAAAGATCAGACCTATTACCGGTATTTACAACTATCTTTGTCCGCTAAAACATCATTCTATTTCCCATTGTTAATCTTGTTTTTGCTCTTTTTTAACTTGAAAAATTGTTTGTTTGAAAAATTAAAAAGATCCAAGACGGTACGCTGGACGAAGAGATAGTTATTATGGATCTGATCACTATGATCACAGAAACTATCAGACAAGCGGTGGGAGATCATCTCACTACAAAAGCCACTATGCTCCTGGATCGTCTTCAGCAGGATTAGGCAGGATAAGGAGGTTCAGTCGAAGTTCTTCCCGTAGTCGGTCCATCTCTAGGTCTATCAGTCAGAGCAGAAGTTCCAGCAGAAGTTACGAGTCTGGAGAAGTTAGAGGACATAGGGTTTGTTCTAAGCGTTTATATTGTTTATAATTTTTTTTGGACCAGTTTCAGTTTTTTACAGTAATACAATTTTTGTCAACTTCTTTTTATGGTTACGTTGTTTTTATTCTTTGACGCAGTTAAAATTGTGTAATCCAAACATCTGTGGTAGACTGTTGAAGACTGCATTTGTCAAAAAATTCTGTAGAATTGAATTTTGATTGTCGGAATTTGAAAAAATTATGTCCATTTCTAAATTCCGCAAACAAGTTCAATCATGATAATGAATCGAAGACAATTAATCATTTCTGAATTTAGACTGTCAGTTTATAATAATTTAATTCAGACATTTATATGCATATTTGTTGTATCAATTTTTGTAAATAATTGAAATAAATACATATCTTATAAGAATTATGCAAAGAATTGGTAATATTTCAGGTTCCGAACCTGATCGCATTTGGTTGAAGTTTTTTTTGTTCAATTTCGACATGTCGGAACTATTCAGTGTTTTTTCAAATTATCCGATTCCAATTACGACGGAATTTATGATTACGATCAAATTTGACTGTAAGGTCTGTGTTACTGTGTACTGTGGTATTTGCCTGGATTATACTAATTTCAGATTACCTATTACAAAAGTTTGTTTTAAAAAATCGAGTCTGAAAATTTATGACCTTAAAATTTTTCGTGAGAAGAACAACTATGCAAGACGTCAAGTCACACTGGCTCGGACAGATCAGTGCAGAGAATGGCTCACTAAAAGCAAAGGTGAACAAATGAAATCTCTGTGTCGTATAGCAAAACAAGCAAAGCGCACGAAAAAAGACATAGTTGGTGCCTCATGTATCAAAAACGACAAAAATGAGATGGTTCTTGAACAAGATGAGATCAAACTACAGTGGAGAGAATACTTCAATGAAACAAATGAAACAAATCCCAAAACAAATTTAAATGAAACAAATCCCATCAATGTCAAATTTGACGCTCCATCCATTGAAGGTCCGATTTCAGACATCACTGTAGAGGAGCTTACAGAAGCTCTGAAAGCTATGAAGGATGGAAAGGCAGCAGGGCCCTTTGGACTCACAAATGACATTATCAAAGCATCTGGTACTGCATGTATCCAAACGTTACTACAACTTTGCCGTGAAGTGTGGAGAAATTGTACAATGCCGACTGAATGGAACTATAGCATGACAGTTCCGCTATACAAAGGCAAAGGTGATCCATATAACTGTTCATCATATCGGGGTATACGCCTGTTAGAACACTCCCTGAAAATTGTTGAGAAAATAATTGAAAAAAGATTAACGTTGTGCATCACAATCGGAAATTATCAATTTGGTTTCCTAGCGGGGAAATCAACAATTGTTACAATTCACATCCTTCGGCAACTGCAAGAGAAGTACCTCGCAAAGCATCAAGTACTGTTACACATTTTTGTAGACCTTGAAAAAGCATTTGATCAAGTTCCCCGTGAAGCAATCAGGTGGGGTCTAAGTCGACAACTCATTCCAAAATATCTTGTTCGATTTGTGATGGAAATGTATACGAATACTAAGACTCTCATCAGCACAACGGTTGGAAACACAGATGCATTTGACATCGGCGTTGGAGTTCACCAAGGCTCGATTCTCAGTCCACTGTTATTTATAACTGTGATGGTAGAAATCACAAAACCGATACGCACTGGTGACATTTGGAATATATATAATATATGCTGATGATATCGTTTTAACAGCCACGTCTGAGCAGAATGCAGCACAGATGTTTGAAGATTGGAACACCAGACTGGCCGATCATGGATTCAAAGTCAACATCAGCAAAACCAAAGCAATGAACACTGGTGAACCCATCCAATCCATAGCTACTGGACGATAACCCTGTTCAGTTTGTAAAGCTGGTGTAGGTAACAATTCAATCAAGTGTCAGCAGTGTAACCAGTAGTGTCACAAACGTTGTTCAAAAATAATTGGTACTTTATCTAAAGTGTCCAATTTCGTTTGTCCTGCTTGCATCAATCCACAACAACAAATACGAAATAGCAATGTTTTTGAAGCCATTAAGATAGAGAAAGTCACATCGTTTCAATATCTAGGGAAGGTTCTGGATTGTACTGGAACAGCTGAAGCTGCCGCTGCATGCAACGAATTAGTCTGAAGGACCACATCAAATCTACCAAAATCCCTGCGTCGTGCTGGTTTAGATGATATAAAGGACGAATGCCGGCAACACCGTCTGCGGTGGTTTGGTCATATCAAACGAAGTGGAAACAGTGCCATAACTTCTCTTGCAGATGTTGAAGTACCTGGCACACGTCCCAAAGCCGTCCAAAGAAGTCCTGGTCGCAAACAATCGAGCAAAACATGAAAGCTCTAAATTTAAATGAAATGGATACAACTGATCGTCTAATTTGGCGCAAAAAGTTGATGGCAAAGAAAACAACGTCTTACCTCAGGAAACTGGGTTCTCTGGACGCTAAACGAAGATTGTTCGATTGAGTCTGAAAATTCATAGTAATGTCCTATTGGAATGATTATGTTTTGAATTGACGAAGCAATGTTTAACAGAAAGAAATTGTATTTTATTATAAATGGAAATCTTATTTGTCCATTGATGAGAAGGTGGAGATCAATTTATTTGCTCATGAAAGCAAACGTTTTTTTGTTTCTGTTCTGGTTGTATTGCTGAGAATAGGTAAATGAAGGAAGGGAAAAGCAAAGTTATATTAACCATGGTTTATTTTGTACTGGTTCTTCGTAAAGAGAATAAAGAAGAAGTAAATAGCCACAATGATTTTAATATCCAATGTCTTGACATTAATTTAACCCAAAAAATATAACATGCTTTATTATTAATTTAAACAATGAATGAAATTTCAAGCTGGTACAAGCAGACAAATTGTATGCAGTTGCTTTTTGTTTTTTATAAATATCAGAATCGAAAGAACTTTTTCATATTGGTAACTGAATATTCACACAATTCATCTAAATAAAACTCGTTTATATCTTACTCAGATTTTCATTTTCCTAACGTTACTCATTCTATATTGTTTAGTCCAGATCAAGTTCTTTAGGAGCGCCAAAACGTTACAAATTAAAATCAGATGAGAGAAAAAAATTGAAACATCAACGACGCTTGAAAAAGTTGGCGGATGATTATGACAGTTCAGACAGTTTCAAGAAGAAATTAAAAAAACAGAAAAAAATTAAAAAACTGAACTCCACTATAAATAACAGCAATGGTCGTACAGGCAGCGGTAACGATGGCGGACAGATGGACGGAAGTAACAAGGATGGTATGATTGATTTATCTCTGGATCAATCCATCGTTAGTTTATTTTTCTTTTTATACTCCGGTAGTTCATCGTTGATTTCAACATTCGTGATATGTTGCAACGTAGACGTGCGAATATTTATTTAGCGCTTAACGCAAAGTTCGCATAATTTAGAAAGGGGACTTCCTCATAGCTCTGAGCAAGTGCAAAAGACGTGGCGTGAAACTTTTAGCAGACCATCTACAATGTTATAAATTTAATGCTTCATGATTTCAGGAAAAAAATGTTTCACTGGCGAACACAACTGAAGAACTGATTTTGAATGATAAATTTGATAATGAAAAATCTTCAAAAATACCCTCCAACAAAATAACATTAGATAAAAATGATGATAAAGATGACGGAATGATCAGTGATGATTATGATGGTCAAATTTTAGATGAGGAAGAAGAGGTGACTTAATAAGTTTTTTTAAATTATTGACATGAATTTTCTTTACGGTATTTTTATTAAAATCCCAGCAGCAATCTCGATCTGAAAGACAAGCAATCGGAAGCAATGAAAGTGGTAAAGCTCTTTCATCAATGCCCATGTGTAGCACAGCCAAACATTTGGACAAATTACATGATGTTAACTACAAACAAATTATGTCATCAAAGCCAGAAAAGCACTATAACCTGGAGCAGAATGATGATAGTATGGATGTCGAAACTGACTTTCCAATCTTTGCTGACAATATTGAAGTTAACATCCCAACAGATAACAATGAACTACCTCAACAAAGAGAAACAAATATTTCTTATACTAAAGATGGTGCAGATAAAGAGTTTAGTTCAATTTTATCCATTCAGCTTTTAACATAGAAAATGAAATTATTGATGTATTTTTTGATTATTGATGGCTTTCTTTTCAAAATTTACTCTTAAAAAATAGTGACTTGAAGATACAAGATGCACAAGTTGAAAAACAGCAGCAACATAAGAAAGTAAAACAGAGCACGGCCAAACTTTCAGACGAAAAATTAAAACTTCTGAGAGATAAAAAAGAGGAAGTAGAAAAGGTTTTTATGTTGTGAATTTATTTCAAGAACTATAATGTATTGCATTCTGTTGATGAATACATTACGCTGACAATAATCTAACTTGGTCAAAATTTTAATTTTATTGTGTGACGTTAGGCATACAAGCAAGATTGTGAAACCATAGTGATGGTCACCAAGCTTCTTGTCAGGTCAGTTATTTTACTAACAGGCTTCATTTCTTGTAGAATGAATGTGTTGATAGAACAGCAATTTTGTAAAATTCTGTTTTCATCAGTAAGGACCCGTTGTTAGAAGAACGCATCCAGAAGAGTCTTCGTGAAAACCTGAGAGACATCGGACACAGGTGTGTGCAGGAACTGAGAGAGTTTGTTGATCGCATCAAAAATAGTGATGTTGAAGACGTTAACCTTATTGATGAGAACACATCATTAGGTGTCAATGGCAAGATTACTAACAATTAATGCGATGACAGATGAAGACTTCTTTACTGAACCATTTAGATTATAGTAGTTTTTTTTATAACCTTCATCATTTATGATTGATCGTAAAAATATCATATAAGTTGTAGTTATAACATTTGCAAAAGGGGCAGATATTACTGCTAATTATGATGAAGTATTTGCATATTCGCTATAATGTGCTTTTTAGTGTTTTAAATAACAACGATTAGAAAAATTCTGCAAAATAAATTTTTTTAACAAGCTGAATGCTTATCGTTAATTAAATGAATAATCATGTTTTGTATAATTAGTTGCGGCAGTTTAAAAAATAAAGGCAAGTCAGAAAGTATCTTCCGAAAACAATCTTTCAATTGCGGCTTCAATATCCCCTCCTGTCTCCATCAAGACTCTTCTTGCATACCCCTCATCCATGATGCCCATTTCCCGCAATTGCTGCATCTGAATCTGTCATACCGTGTGTTTATTTTTTGTGTTGATCAAGACAGGTTACATCTTCATAAAATATATTAAATGGAACAATTTTCTCATATTAAAATGATTTTACAAAAAAGCTCAGATAGTAGGTTGTCGTGATTTGCATTATCACATGGTAGCCTGGTACAAATGTTTTGATGTTGGAAACTCGTATATGGGTGCAATGATTGTACATGGGTACAAAATGTGTATGTAAGTCGTATGGTGTGGGTGTTGGAGACTGTGGTGCCAAAGTCAACTTTGCTATAGATAGAGCAGCATGCCAGCTGCTTGACCAATTAACAAAAAATGATAATGAAGGTACAATAATCTACTTCAATCAGAACGTTATCTGGCTGTTGCAAACTTTGAGGGGCTGAAGCAGCAGCTGAAGATGGCTGATGGTGTTGCTCTTGTGGTTGTATGCCACTAGCAAACATCATGGCTTGTCTAAAAAAATCGGATGTTATCAGACCTGGACCTGGTTGAGCTGCTGATGATGATACCGGAGTGTTTCCATATGGCCTTACGAGTCCTTGATTTTCTACCAGTCTTAATATTTTTAATGTAAGCATATATAATACCATCAGTGTTTAGTTAACGTGTGAAAAATTCAAAATTCCGATTTAATATAAACGCATTAACCTTGTAAAAGGATTGTCATTTTCTCTCCTAGGCCTGTCTTGTGGCTCAGTGTCCATTTCATCATCGTCATCGATGTCGCCCTCATCATCAGACATGTGGTCAATGTTGTACAGGGCTTTATAAAAAGCATTTATGTGCATATTTGTTATCGTCAGATGTTCCCATCATTAACTGTCTAAACATAAAAATTTAGATAGCTATAAATTAGGTCACGTGGTACATGGATATTGGATAACACCTACATCTAGAATCTTTGTACTGAAAATTGGATTTCTGAGACCAGTCGTCATTTAGAGCTCCATGTAATATGATGATGGCATACCCCAGAGACGGATGCTCAGTTAATGTCCTAATTCATTTAAATTTATTCAAATTTCTATTTTTATATCAATTAAATTAATATTATTACTTCATTGCTTCTGTTCTTTTATTACTTCCAATAAATTTCCATAAGCAATGCCTATCAGTTAATGTATCTGAAAATATTAAATTTGCAGCTTGTAATGCACGAATGTGTAAACTGTAGAACTGATTAAATCAGTCCAATAAAAATAGTCGATTTTTTTTTATTCCAATCCATCGATTAAAAATTTTCAAAATCCCATTACTCAAATTATATATTTCAATTGAAATAAAAATTTAAAAATATGAAATAACACTACTGATGATATCTCAATAGAGGCGCTCAACAGATCTACAATACGATACAGTAACAAAATTGGAGTCACGTTTAAACAAATTGTCATTCCTAGTAATTATCTTTTTTTAGAGCAATTATTCTGTGTTTGTCATTCAAAAAATACTAGAAGTTATATAATTTTTTGCATAAAATTGCAATGTCTATTTGCAGTTACATAAAAATATCACAGCAAACATGCACATTTCTTAGCATTTAAATTATAACATCTGTAATCAGACATTTCAAGAAGTATCCTCTTATTTAAAATTTTTTTGACCGCTATTTGCTGATGCATTTGTAAGAAAAGTGCACGCTATTGCAAATTTTAAAAAAGTAATTGCTCCGTCGGCAGTAGTTAACAGATGCCTAGAGCTCATTTTGTAACATTCATAATCTGTGTTATATATGATGGCATATTAGTGGCAGAGAGTTCTACAAAACAAAAAGTCAAGTTTAGAACATGGATAAGATAAGTATTCAAAATGTTTTTGGTAGTCAGATAAAATCTCTGAATTTCAGCCTTCCACTCAGACACCCTATTCAAAAATATTTTAATTATGCAAACAATTACTCATTGCAATAGGATCTGAGCCAAAAGCAGGTACAGCTTCAATTATGTAATCTACCAACTTGGCATTCTTCAATTTATCTTCAACCTTTGAAAATTTCATAATTTATAAAAACAATTTTTCACTATTAAGTTTCAAGCAATTTGCTAAAGATACCCAATGTCTTGATTGAGAATCTTGGAAGATGTGTTTTGACATTTTCATGATTTGATTGAACGTTTGACTATCAAGTTTTTCTGTAGGTATTAAACAAAAACATTATATTTAAAAAATTCAACTTTAAAAAATTACATGCCTGCTGGAGGTATGTCTATTTTTGATGATTTCAGTATGTAGACCACCGAGCATTCGTCAAATCCCAATGATGCTATTAATTGGTCATCACACAAACGGCTGCCACAGTATATGAGATCTTGAAATTATAGTTTAATATTTTATACTTATATTTCTATTATTATCAATATTTATATCCAAAATTTGGGAAAATATGGGAAAGCCCTGAAGCATACAATAAATCATAAGGGTGGATGCTGAATGGACAAATTATAAAAACAATGTTGACTATGGCTTTGGATATAAGTATAGTTAACAGTGGACCCCTCTGGACATAAAAATCTAGCAGGTAGATGAATTTCATATAAATTAGTATAAATTTTATACTAAAAACTTAATGAAGACTGGTTAAAGGAGAGTAATGTTGAATTGCTTAAGTTGATAGATAAATTCATCTGTAATGTTTATTGTTGGTTTCAATGTTCCAAATGTCAAATGGGATACAATAACTGTAAATGGTGGGAGTAGGCTATTTAGAAAAAATTTATTGACTATCTAAAGAATTTTTTCATTTCAATGCATCGATATTTCTACAAGACTGCAAAACTGTGTTTCGCACTTGAAGAGTTACACACACACATATACATATATACTATGTATGTATATGTATGTATATATATATATAAGCATATACATATATATAAGCATATATGATAACAAACTAAACGTTCACCAAAAGACTTTAGTGAGAAAAATCGAAAAAAACGAACTACAAACATATTAACGGTAGAATTTATAGAATATTGTAAAAATTATATATATATATATATATATATATATATATATATATGTATATATCGTCGAATTTGATTGATTTTCCTGATTTGAAACATGCATTCGGCTGAGAGCTTCTTAATGTGTTGTTTCATTGACAAACCTGAATCAATTATGAAGCCCAGATTAGCTGCTGTCTGACAAAATGGGATGACCTCATCATTAAGTTATTGAATTTATATCTATTCTTGAAAGTTGCTGCCATGTTCCAATTAGTAAAAAAAGTCTTGTTTTGGTTTAGTTTGAACCATTGTTTGCATCCACTTATTGACCCCAGACAAACATTTAACCAGTTTATCCAATTATGATTTAAAAGAATTTGGTCTGCTCGTAACAATAATTTGTAAGTCTTCCGCAAAAGCATGACCTGAAAAACCAAATGATTCTATTATCTTTAGTACCTCAGATGTATAGATCAGGAAAAGAATAGGACCTAGAACCGAACCTTGTGGCACACCAGACAACATAACGTTAACCTCAGACAATTTACCACCGAATGATACCTGTTGTGATCTACCTACCGAATACGACTCAAACCACCTCAGAACAGCAACGTAGTCTTGTTAAAAGTACTTTGTGATCTACGCAATCAAATGCGGATGACATATCAAGAAAGACTAGCATTGCCACATTTTGTTCATCAATTGCCCCGTACACTTCTGAGAAAACTTGCAAAAGGGCAGTTTCAGTCGAATGGTACTGACGGAATCCAGATTGAAATTTCGGCATTAAATTGTTATTGTTCAAGTAACTGAGTGTTTGCCTGGCAACCACACGTTCGATAATTTTGGATAGGAAAGACAGATTAGAAATTGGTCTGTAATTCCCAACATCATTTTCATCCAGATTATGTTTCTTAAGCAGCGGAGTTATGATAGCATGCTTGCAGCCGGAGGGAAACTGTCCCACATTCAAACTGCTGTTTATCAAGCCTGCCAAAAATGGTGCGAATAGTTTTATAAACTTCTTTAATACGTAGGTAGGTATTACATCTTGTTGACACGACTTTGTAGGTGAATTTGGAACTAACTGTATTACCTCCTCTTCAGAAACCATAGAAAACGTTGAGAACAAACTATTATTGACACCTGATTGGAATTCTGCCAGGCTCGGTTGAGCATCGCTGTTGACACTATCTCTCAGCTTGCTTAACTTTTCATTAAAATAGCACATCAATCGATCAGGTGTTAGTTCATCCAAATCCGAGCAGGATTTATCGTTACGACCCCTACAGAGAATGCTGTTCACAACCCGCCAAAGATTCTTTGGTTTCATCTTATTGTCATCAACAATTTTTGTCTAATACTGACAAACTATTATGTCAATACAATACAATACTGACGACGTTTTTTAGAGAAAAGTTCCGATTTACTCTTTAAAGCAGTCTTCCATTCATCTTGATGAATCAACTGTGAACTTTTTCTGTATCTTCTTTCCATTTTTCTGCACAAACGCTTGGCCAACCTGCAATCATTATCAAACCACAGAGCCATACGAACGTTATTGGTTGTCACTGCACGAATAGGGACAACTTTATCAGCAATAGATTTTAACTCGTTATTAAATAAATGCAATTCCTTGTCTACCTCATTGCCTTGACATGATTTGGAAAGTGGAGATTCAAGCACGAGTTTGATGAAGTCATCAACATTCAACTGATTCCACATTTTAGAAACTTTTTTAATTCCAACCAAATATCCTCGAGTCTTCGACAGTTCAGCCCAAATAAAACTATGATCAGAATAAATTCCACTTGGATGGACTAAACAATCATGAACTGGAAAATCCTCGGAGGTCACTATCAAGTCTAGTGTACCACCACATCAACAACAAACATTGGGAAAAGAGCATTTCGTCATGCTGCTGCAAGTGTTTGGAATTCTTTGCCTCCGAATATTAGAAAATCTAGCTCCCTCTGTGGATTTAAATCTAATTTAAAAATATTATTTTAATCATGCTTTGAACTGACAATAGTTTTTATATGCTGCTTCTAATTAACCTTTTAATTATAATATTATTATTACAATCTTTTTTTTAATGCTATTGAACTCATATTACCATGATTACCATGGTCAATTGTTATTATTAATTATTAATTTTATTATTGTCGCTATTGAATTCAATTATTAATTTTTTAGTTCCGAGGGCGCCTCAGTCGCTTGCATTGGCGCTTTATAAATGATATTTATTATTATTATTATTTACAAATTTACGCCTTCGAAAACCCCAAATTCAGTTAGCAACAGTAATGCACTCAAACTGCCAAACAACATCATAAAATTATTAAAAGAAAAAAAATAGCTGCAGAAATATTTTTTGAAATAGAAAAGGCAATACAGTATTTGAGGAGCTTAAAAATGCAAAAAAGATTAAAAAGCACATTAAATCAATAAAAGAAGGACACGGTTAGTGATTTAACACTGACAATAAAATCTATTCTAAACGATAAAATTGAGAACAAATTGCCATGATATATTGCACTAAACCTATTTAAGATTCCAAACTCAAAAAATGTTAAATTTGAGGCAATTCTGAATGAAAAGTTAAAAAATTAGAGGAATAGACTAATAAAGCTAATAGCATGTATGCTAGTTATGCTAAATTCTTTCGAATTGTAAAGACTGACATTTGATGCTTCATTAAAATCTGTTGATCATATTTACCATAACATAAACTAAGCAATTTTTATACTAGGTTTAATAATAGACATTTCACATGTATTAGTGTTATTTGTTTAATAATTCTGATCAAATCGATTATACGGATTTTATTTACGAAATAATGGATTTTTACAATTCTGAGAATATTAGAATTGCTAAAAAACACTTACTAGCGATTTGGATACATTAAATCTAGAAAAAGATGAAAAAACAAAGTCAAATTGTTTTGGAAGTTTTAAAAAGGACAAGGTTAGTGATTCAACACTGAAAATAAAATCTATTCTAAACAATAAAATTGAGAACAAATTGCCACAATATGTTGCTCTAAACTTCTTTAAGATTCCAAACTCAAAAAAAGTGAAATTTGAGGCAATTCTGGATGAAAAGTTAAACAAATTAGAAGAATTATTTATTGAAAAAAAAAAATTAGAGAAATTGTAAGAAATGCAGTTATTAACAATAACCCTAAAGTAGACCAAGATACAGACATTAACCAAGCAGAAAAAAAGAAGCAATTTGTCTGGAAGACAGAATCAAGCAAACAATCTGACTGGGCAGAGATTTTAAAACGTATTAATAAAAAGAGCTGAAATGTTCAACATTAACATGTTAGAAACAAAGAAGAAATCACACAGCACAACCGAAGAACAATCAAATTTGAAAACAAATAAAAACTTCGCCTTAAAAAGTTTTCTACATTGGTTGATTGGAGCAACGATGCACTGCAAAAGAGTTAGGTGAGCACATAAATGGATTGAAAATTGAGGTGCTTGCTTGCTCAGCAATTAAAAACTAAATTTTTAATCGCCGCTCCAAACAAACCACAACATCGAATAACAGACAAGATACAAACTCTGACAAAATCGATGTTCAACAGACAAGCGCTGCTTTCAGGGTTTGCATTTATGAAACAGATTCAGCTGAGTTTATGAATACAGAAAACTGGCCAGAATAAATCATAGTTCGCGAATTGTGTTATCATGATTTGTTAGCAAATGTTGTCACAACTAAAAGTAACAAAGAACAAAGGGCTCTGGAGCAACGGCCTTCCCGCGGTGGAGCCGATTGAGGAAAAACTGTCAAGTCATCGATGGACTACCTCAACAAACCGTTGCAACTACTCCTCCCTGTCAAGACATCATCAGGTTTTTACTACTGGAGCAGCTTATGCCAGCAAGCCTGCTCTGCAATCTCCTTCAAAGAGCCGGCGTCGAGCTCAATCCAGGGCCGAAATTCTAAATCTGTCCAGTTTGCAACAAGAAAATCAACAAAACCCAGCACTCTGCTCGCTGCAGAACTTGCTGCAGCTGGAGCCATTTACTTAACTGCTCTACTCAACTTGGCAACTACTTCCTATGTAACAACTGCACCAATCCAAAACCTGTATGGGTGGAGCGGCGGTATTGGATACATTTCGGAGACATTCATCAACCAGTAACAACCCAACAACTGCGAGAATGCAAATTCCACTCTCCAGCCAACACAGTATCATTAGGTCAACGGCTTATACCACCGGTCAACTCAATTTCCCACAATGGAACTGCAACGGAATCACAGACAAGTAAGACGAACTACAACGACTCCTTGAAAGTCACATTCACATCGCAGCTCTACAAGAATCAAAATTTACCTCATGACAATGACAATAATTCTGTTAAAAAATCCAAACAATGTTTTAAAGAAAAGTGAGATTATATATTTGATATAACCAAAGTGAATGGTAACTGGCTTAGTAATGAGGATAAAGAATTTTATTTATTACAGATGAAAACTGATGGTCAAGCTGGTTATTGTACATCCAAAATTGTTAAAGTACATCCATCTAAAGCTGGCAAGAAGAGAACTATCATAGCTGAAACGGATACAGTAGAAGTCAGTGATGACAATAAAGGAGACAATGAACAAGATGATGAGCAAGATTCTGATTATAATCCGCCAGACAAAAAAAAAACGAAGAGAAAATATGAGAACACCAACTTGCTGTTAACTTAGTTAAGAAATCAAAACCAAGTATTAAGAGATCAGTAAAAGTTTGCAAAAATTTATCTGAATGTGGTGTTAATGTGCAAGCACCATCCAAATCTGGGGTTTATAGAGCTACAATGTTAGAAGCCCAAAAAATGAAAAAGCATACTATTAATCATTGAAAAAGTGATGATTGGGTGTTGCATTTTGATGGTAAATGAATATCCGGGATTGAGTATCAAGTCTTGATTTTAAAAAATGCAAGGTCAAGTTAGCCATTTTGAAATTGGATGATGGTAAAGCTAATAGTATTTACAGTGGAATAGCTGAAGTGCTAGATAAATTTCAACTATGGAGTAGTATTAAAGTTATAATATCTGATACTACAAGTGTTAATACTGGAAGTAAAAATGGAGTTGTAAACCAACTTCAGAGAATTTGAAAGAATAAATCTTGAACCAGTTCAATTTATTGGTTGTCAGCATCATGTGTTAGACACAATTTTGAAGCATTCCATGAATGATATTGTTATAACCGTGCTACCGAACGCACTAGAACATTCTAGAATATGCTAGAATCGGACCATCTAGAAGAATTTAGAAACGACGCTTGCGAAGAGTATATAAGCGCACGTCGCAAGAAGATTAGCGATTAGTGAAATTCGTGATTTTGTAAATTCGTGACTCTGTGATTTTGTGAATAGCGATTCGGTGAATTATTTAAAGCGATATTTGGTTTGTTTTGTTGACGTTGTCATAGCGATAGATTTTGAACAATTTAAAAGTTAATTGTTGTGTTAATTTGAATTTGCTAGAAATAAACGATTAGTTGATTTCTTCTGTAAATAAAGTTTAATAACTAATAACTGTTTGGATTATTTTATTCAATCGAAGATTTGAACCCGTCGCATCGTAAATCGGTTACGACAGCGAGTATTATAACATTGGTGTCAGAAGTGGGATCTTCGACCAGCGAATTACTACTCATAGAAAAAGAACACGATGTCAAAACTGTGTGGTTTGAACGTAGTTCAGCTACGAGAAGAACTACAGAAACGAAGCCTTGTCACAAGTGGCAACAAAGAAGTACTAGTAGCACGTCTGAGAGAAGCTCTCATTGACGAAGGTAAGAACCCAGACGAATTCAAGTTTGATGGTGCTGACGAAGACAATGAAATTAGCACAGGCACGTTTACAACCGCTAAAATGAAGGAACTTCTGCTTAGTATGTCAACTGAAATGAAACAGATCAAAGAACAGTCCGAACAACAGTCCGAACGACAGACAGAGGAGTTAAAACAGATCAAAGAACAGTCTGAACAACAGTCCGAACGACAGTCCGAACGATAGACAGAAGAGTTAAAACAGATCAAGGACCAGCTAAAACACGTAAAATTGGAAGTGGCAGAACAGATTGAAGAACAGTCAACAAGAATAGAAATGATCGAGAGAAACTTGATCGTCAAACCGTTGAGGTAGATCACAAGATAGACAAATCGAAGCGAGAATTGGAGCAATCCAAAAAAATGGCCATGCCGTTAGATCACGCATCCGGAAGAACTTTGAAGGTACCAGCATTTGACGGAGAGATGTCCTGGAACGTTTATAAAACCCAGTTCGAAGCAGCGGCAACTAGTAACTGTTGGAACGGAAAAGAACGAGCAACAGCACTGATACTGGCACTGCGAGGTTCAGCAGCAGAGGTTCTTCAGACGATTCCGGCGGAGAACCACTTCAACTATGAAGTTCTGGTTAGCGCGTTGGATTTACGTTATGGTGAAGAACACATGAAACAGATTTATCGGTCTCAGCTTAGAAACAGAACGCAACGATCTGGTGAATCTATTCAGCAGCTGGCACAAGATATCGAACGGTTGACATTGCTGTCATATCCGACATCAGATCCCGAGCATAGAGACGAAACTGCCCTGGATACGTTTATCAAAGCCCTTCGTGATTCGGAACTCAAGCAATCCCTTATCTTGTCAGATAAACGAAAACTCAAGGATGCCGTTGCGCACAGTCTCACTTTTGAATCGGCAAAGCAAGCATCAAAAAGTGACGTACGTCTACGCCAAGTACATGAAGAATGCTTTTGCCGAAAGGTGGTTGTAAAACGCGAACCCCAACAGCATGGTTTACCCCAATGCTGGATTTGTGGTGAAAAAGGCCATCTACGTAGTGATTGTAAACACCGCCTAAAAGATAACTACTGCCGAAATTGCGCGACAAGATGGCGCAAAAAAAGGAGAAGATGATCCTATATCACGATCGGCCCCTTCTAACGAAGGGGCGGAAAACTAATAAGAGCCAACTTTGTGGGACAGAGGTTGGCTAGTAGAATTGACGCCCCCAGTACCGTAATTAACGTTTCCAGATTACATCGAAATCGAAACGACCTATGGCTGAACGGAAAAGTTGATCAACGAGAATGTGTAATTACAGTCGACACCGGAGCAACAAAATCGATTTTAAGATCTGATTTGGTACCCAATCTGAAGAAAGAGACTTCTAACAAATACATCCTTCGAACAGCTACCGGAGGAACAGCACCAGTCTATGGAAAGATTCTTCGTACTGTTCAGCTAGGCGACTTGTTATTCGAAGGTTCATTCTTAGTCGCGGATATCATCGACAAATGCATAATAGGTGTCGACTTTCTGACAAAATATGGGTTCAAAATTGACTTAGAAAAACGCATTCTTAGATGGAGAAATACAGATGTGATAATGGGGGATAGCGACGAAAAATGCATTCGAGTGACAGTCGATTGTGACATAGAACTACCTTAATCATTTGAAAACATCGTATGGGGCAAGTTAAATTGCGATCCTGGGGGCCACCAGTTCTATTTGATGGAGCCAACATCACCGACAAATGTACAGAACGCGGTCATTGGAAAATGCCTTGTAGAAGCGAACAAAATGGTCTTATTCCTGTCAGAATAATGAATACCGCTAAACACACTATTAAAATTAAAAAAGGCGAGGAAATAGGTAACTGCCAATCAATAAATTTGGTGAAATCATTAGATATGGAAAAACAGGAAAAGGTTCTACCAACTGACAAAGGTAGACTTAAAGAACTTACCAAAAATCTACTGGATGAACTCAATTTGTATCAAGAAGACCGTCTAAAAGCCGAGGCGTTGATTGCTGATTTTGCAGACGTGTTTTCAACCGGTGACAATGACCAAGGTAAAACAGCTCTGGTAACTCACCGAATTGATACTCAGAATTCGAAACCGATCCGACAAGTACCACGACGTCTTCCTCTAGCAAAACAAACAGAAGTAAACGAAATGATAACGACAACGCAGAATCAAAGCGTCATCGAACCGTCATCAAGTCCCTGGATTTCGCCAGTTGTTTTGGTAAAGAAGAAGGACGGCACTACCCGTTTTTGCGTTGATTATAAGAAGTTAAATGATGTGACTAAAAAGAACAGCTATCCGTTACCGAGGATTGATGACATCATGGACACCCTATCTGGCTCAAGTTGGTTCTCTACGCTTGATTTGAAAAGCGGATACTGGCAAGTAGAAATCGACAAGAACGATCGCGAAAAGACAGCGTTTTCTATCGGATCGGGGTTGTGGAAATTCACCGTCATGCCATTTGGATTGTGCAATGCTCCAGTTACATTGGAGCGACTGATGGAATGTGTATTGCAAGGTCTTAACTGGAAAACCTGTCTTGGCTATTTAGACGACATAATTGTTCTAGGAAGAACATTTGATCAACCCGTCGAAAACTTACGGGAGATCTTCACAAGACTTCGGGTGGCAAATTTAAAGCTGAACGTTAAAAAAGTGCAGGTTATTTTCTAAAGAAGTTAACTATTTGGGACATGTAGTATCTTCAGATGGAGTTCGAACCGATCCCAGCAAGATAGAAATTGTGAAAGACTGGCCAACTCCACAGGATAAAAATGAATTGCACAGTTTTCTGGGATTGGCAACGTACTATCGACGTTTTGTAAAGGATTTTGCAAAAGTTGCCAGACCTCTCCACCAACTTACCGAGAAGGACCGAGTTTTCAACTGGAATACCCTATGCGACTCAGCATTTGAAAAGTTAAAAGTTGAACTATGTGATGCTCCTTTGCTAGTATATCCAGTTCGTGGCAAGACGTTTGTGTTAGATACTGATGCAAGTAACAACGGAATCGGAGCCGTTTTGTCACAGCATATAGACGGAGAAGAAAAGGTGCTAGCGTATTATAGCAGAGGATTCACAAAGCCCAAACGAAACTATTGTGTGACCAGGAAGGAGTTACTAGCAATAGTCAATGCAGCAAAACACTTCCACAAGTACCTTTATGGACAGAAATTTCTTCTCCGAACTGATCATGCAGCGTTAAGATGGCTCCTCAACTTCAAGGATCTTGAAGGACAGATGGCCCGATGGTTGGAGCGTTTACAAATGTACGACTTCGAGATCGTGCACCGCAAAGGAACAACTCATAGTAATGGTGGTGCTCTCTCACGTCAACCATGTTTACCAGGATGCAAATATTGCTGTCGACGAGTTAGTTTGGCTGTACAACCCACAGCGAAAGAAAGGACGTTCTCCAAAGCTCCAGCGAGGGTGGGAAGGACCTTATCAAGTCATCACCCGCTTGAATGACGTCGTCTACCGTATTCAGGAATATCGGTAGCCGAGAGCAAGAATGAAGATCGTTCATTTGGATAGACTGGCTCCGTACCATGCGGACACCGGAACGAAAGCTGTTCGGGACGAACAGAACTAAGAAGGGGGTAATGTTATAACCGTGCTACCGAACGCACTAGAACATTCTAGAATATGCTAGAATCGGACCATCTAGAAGAATCTAGAAACGACACTTGCGAAGAGTATATAAGCGCACGTCGCAAGAAGATTAGCGATTAGTGAAATTCGTGATTTTGTAAATTCGTGACTCTGTGATTTTGTGAATAGCGATTCGGTGAATTATTTAAAGCGATATTTGATTTGTTTTGTTGACGTTGTCATAGCGATAGATTTTGAACAATTTAAAAGTTAATTGTTGTGTTAATTTGAATTTGCTAGAAATAAACGATTAGTTGATTTCTTCTGTAAATAAAGTTTAATAACTAATAACTGTTTGGAGTATTTTATTCAATCGAAGATTTGAACCCGTCGCATCGTAAATCGGTTACGACAGCGAGTATTATAACAATATTTTAGATGAAGGAAAAAGCTCATCACCAGAAATACATTACAAATTTATTGTAGACCTGCAAAAAAAACTATAAAAATTTAATATCAAACTTTAAGCAAGGTGAAAAAATTTGTAAAGTAAAGACTAATAAATGGATAGATGATATAGACTTTTTGATTGAGTTGGTACAAAGTTACCGATACATGAAGGGGAATGGTAGCTATCTGGCTATAAAATTCAAAAGTCTGCCATCATTGAACAATGCCAGATGGAATTCAAAAGCAATCTATGCTCTCCTGGCATATATTTTAAATGAGTAAAATAATAATCAACTTCGTATTGTTTGTGACTTCACTGCATCAGCCTGGTCTGATATATGGTTTTCTGACATGCAATACTCAGAACATAATTTTAACAATTTAGAACAAGCAATAATTTCAACTACAGCTATGAAAACCTTGAAAACATTTTGGTCCCAGGAGCCCAGTCGCATACAAGAAATTCAGAAATCTAATATCTGTGCGGAAAGAACCATAAAAATTATGCAAGAAATTTGTGCAAAAGATATTGACAAGATGAACTTCATATTTATTCTGCACAACTTTTAAATTGCACAAACAATTTCCCTTTGTATATTTATCAACTGAAAGTTTTGTAAAAATAAATTGCTATTTTTCTGTAAATTTGTCAATTTTTTCATTATATTTTTTTACTTACGGGGGACATTTTTGAAACTTTAGTCAGTCAATAAAACTTTTGTAATTGGTAATCTCATGTAGAATGTCAGATTATGGCATTATACCCATGTATAATTGTAAAAAAAATCAACCCCCTACTGTCCATCCAACTTCATAGCAACCATTGCTCACCTACTATCCATTCCAAATATTATATTGATGGGAGATTTGAATGCTCACTATTCGCTTTGGTATTCGAACATAGAAAATCAGCGAGGTGAAGCACTGGCAGATGAGATCGACATCTCAGACTGCGGAACGTTAAATCAAGATACTCCGACTCGTCTACCTAACAACGGTCAACCGACCTCACCGGACATCTCCATAGCATCCGACACACTGATCACTGCAATGGATTGGACAGTACTAGCAACTATGTCATCAGACCATCTACCCATTCACATCACCTTAAACCCTTGTCTGGCACAAATTAAAACTCCAAAAATAACCTTTAGTAACTTCACCAAAGCAAATTGGAACCAATACACCTCAGAGACCGAATCTGCCTTCTCAACTGCAGTTTTTCCCTCCGACATATCTGCAGCTGAAAAACTATTCCGTAAAATTCTGACAGCCGCCAGCGACCACAGCATTCCTTCGGACAGACATATTCACTCACAGCCGGGACTGTCAAAGGAAATTACGGAGGATATCGGGACAGTTGAAAAAGTGATCATCAAAGAGTGCAAACATATAAAGTAAAAAAAATTTCTGATGCTCCCAAAATTGAGGTGATCTAATCTTGCCTTTCTACAGGATGCACACCAAAGACAAGCAAAGCTTCCCTGAAAAGTTAAAGGCCAACAAACGAACAAGAAGGCATGGATTTAAACTATCAACACTTCCCTACCATACTTATTTTAAAAAATATTATTCTTTTATCCACTTAATATTTAGAATAGTTTAAATGAAGATTTGTCCAATTCTGATAGTGTGGATGAGTTGAAGAACAAATTAGATATTTTTTTGATGATGGTTAACTTTAAATTTCACTGAAAAGCTGACTTTGTATGGCTGAAAAACTGGGAACAATGGTAAATTTTTGATGGTTTATGAAATGTAATTCATTTTGAAGTATGTGAAATTAACCAATGTACACATGTATTATATATTGCAATAATCATGCATCGCCCATAAATTTGCATCACATATTTTATTATCATTTACTTATTTAATTTTTTTATTATACTATATTTCTTCCTTTTAATTTAAGGTCTAGTACACGTATTTGTGTATGTATGTATATATATATATATATATATATATATATATACACATGTATATATATATATAATATATATATGTGTGTGTGTAACTTTAGGTGCACCACAAAGATCAGTGCTTGGCCCTATTCTGTTTTTACTTTACACATCTGAAGTGCTGAAGGTGATAGATTCATTCAATTTTCCAAGCCATGCATATGCAGACGACATACAGATTTTGATTACTAGTAAACTGAACTTGTTTCAAGTTGAGATTGAAAAATTTGTTGAAAGTATGTCTCAAGTAAATTTATGGATGTCCAGAAATGGACTGAAGCTGAATCAAAATAAAACCAAACTTTTACCGATTGGCACATGGCATTAGTTATCGAATTTTGAATATTTAAATAATGAAAAACTCGACTTCTGTGAAATGGCATTGAATTTGGGCATTTTGTTGGAGACAGAATTATCTATGAAACCCCATGCGAGGATGCTTGCAGCAAACAAATCAAGGCTTATTTGTGATTCAGTCAATGCATCTACATTGCAGACTTTGGCACATGCGCTGGGACGTTCGTGTCTGGATTACTGCAACAGTTTGTTCTACATTTACCAGACAAGACTATCAAGAAACTGCAGTCAATTCAAAATTCTGCTGCCACAGTAGTTGTTGGACAAAAAAATATGGCCATCTTGAAAAAGCTACATTAGTTGTCAGTTAAAAAAAAATATTTTCAAAATTGCCACTATGGTCTACAAGTCCATATACACGGTCTACCACCAACCTAATTGTTAGATATGCTGATATCGAAGTTGCTTATTGTGTCTGGCACACATCTGAGATCTAATGATTTAAACTAGTATGTTAATCCAATATCACAATTGAAGACCGGTCTACAAAGTTTCTATGTGTCGGACCCCGTCATTTGGAACAGACTACTGTCGGTGCTGAGGAAGCCATGAATGAATGTTTCTAAATTCAAGAAAAGTCTAATGACACTTTTTTTATTTCATATTGAATTTTTTTGTTTTGGGTTTGATGAAATTATAACAAAAGAAATTATAAAAGAAGACCATTATTTTTACTATTTATTTATTTTATTTTGAATTTGATTCAATATTTTTATTTTACAATAATGGTTATTAATTATTAATGAAACTAATGATGATAATAAATTTAGGGTTAGGGCATATTCATCTATTCTATGCACAGGATAAATTTCTGACTTTACCTTGGTTCGAATAGGTATCTCTATCAACTCAAAAACAAAGCAGCACTAACCAAAATTATCTATGTTATGAATCTGTTGAGTAAGAACTTCTCTGATATCACTGACACTTTTCATATTATCGTCTAGATTCACAGTGAAGCTCTTGTTGACACCATCCACAAAATATCTTAATTCTAATTTGGCCATTTTTTTTACTTAGAATACAATATACGAAATAAGCCTACGGCAGCGAATTTTTATAAAACCAGATTCTCGACCCAATTTAACTTTTAAAGTTTACCAACGATGCAATTACCAATCCAACCCATATAATTAGAACAAAATCCAATCATAGATATATAACTCATAAACATGAAACACTAAACTACATAATGGGCTGTTGTGTTGTCCAAAGAAACGGCGAGGATGTTGTGTCGATATTAAAAAACATTCGGCCTTCTATGAGATCGTAGATGACTTTTAGACGATTCTTTTAATATTACTGATTCTTGTCTATCTTGATGTTCTTCTTATCTCTGGAATCGTTTTTCTTCTGTTGTTCTCAATAATTCTACTTCTAACTCCTCTAATCTTACTTTTGGTGTACCTCAGGGTTCTGTCTTTGGCCCTCCTCTATTTATATTCTATACTTGTGAATTATCTCATCTTATTAATAATTTTTTTTTTGCTAGTCAACTATATGCTGATGATTCTTATATTTATACTTTTTTCCTCCATTTAATCTCAATAGTGTTCTTCATCATCTTTCTTCAATTATCGCTTAGTCTGACTGTGTTTTAAAATTAATCCTTCTAAATTTGAATTTATTTGTTTTAATAAATCTAAACGCTCTATTACTATTCTTTCTATTATCTTACATGATTCTAAAACTCTTGCTATACCTTATAAGTTTTGTAGTCTAGGCTTTATCTCTGATTCTAGTATGTCTCATTCTTCTCAAATTAATAGTGTTGCTAGAAGTTCTTACTTTCATCTACAAAGAAAAAAAAACTTTTGTCTTTGTTTGACAATCCTACTTTTTTCTTTTTTGTTACTTTTTTAGTTTTATCTAGAATTGATGATTGTAACTCGTTCTACTATGGTCTTTCTGATTTTACTCTTTATCCTTTAGGTGAAACTTTTAACTCTGCTGCTCGTTTAGTTGCTCGTGCCTCTTTCTTTTCTCGTATTTTTCCATATCTTGTTCTCTTGCACTGGCTACCTATAAAATATAAAATAATTTTTAAAATTATAGGTGTCTCCTTTTCAAAAAAAAGCCCTTTCTACCGTAAACGCTTGAGAACAAATGTCTTTTAAAGCTCGTTTCAAGGTGATTTTTTTGGGTTTTTTTTTTTATTTTTCGATGTAATTATATATATGTCTCAATCTAAATTATTTTCTAAGTACTTATCAGAGATATTAATTGAACCTAAACGGCCCGGTTTACGATTGTCTTTTTATTCTCACTTTTTCTTAACTCGTGTTAAACACTCTTTTGCTAAATCTGCATTTACTTTTTTGGCCTTTTTTTCTGGAACTCTCTACCTCCTTCTCTGACTACTTTTCCATCACTTACAAAGTTCAGTGATGATCTCAAGAACCATCTGTTTGCAAAATTCTTTGAGAAACACTGTTGAACATCGCGGAAATTGTGCTTCATAAATTGATTGATTGACTGATTGACTGACTGACAGTCTGACTGACTGACTGACTGACTGACTGACTGACTGACTGACTGACTGACTGACTGACTGACTGACTGACTGACTGACTGACTGACTGACTGACTGACTGACTGACTGACTGACTGACTGACTGACTGACTGACTGACTGACTGACTGACTGACTGACTGACTGACTGACTGACTGACTGACTGACTGACTGACTGACTGACTGACTGACTGACTGACTGACTGACTGACTGACTGACTGACTGACTGACTGACTGACTGACTGACTGACTGACTGACTGACTGACTGACTGACTGACTGACTGACTGACTCGTTCCAGGCGTTGACCATCGCTGAAAAATCTGCTCTTTATTTTCCCATCCGATCCATCCGAGTTTTTGAAAATCTTCAATTTGTGTCCTCGTAGTTTATCACAGTTGCTTTTTCATTGTTCGAGATCAATTTGTATTGTTACAGACGTGAAGGCGAGATAAGAATTAGTAATTAAAAATTTAAGTGAAGCACTTGATAATTTAATTAAAGAGGCGGAGCCAATGAAAACGGTTGTAAAAGTCAGGTGATGCACTTACTAGCAAAAAGGCGTGAACGATTGGAAAGTCACGTGACGCGGCATCACTAACTATATAATGAGGAAAAGGAACGAGAGAAAAGAGGAGAAAAGAATAAAGATAAAAGTGCACGAAATAACAAGGAACGACGAGAATTACGAAGAAGTCAGAAGAAGTTTCAGGCAGTCCTATTATCGCAGAGATATTTTGTGTGCGTACTGCAAACAAATTAGCGATAACGCCCAAGGAGAAGTTTGTCGCAAAGAATTCTACACGCGGTTTGCGAGTGAATTACGATAATCTTCCGAGAAGTGGATACTTAGGATTTACGGTCAAGAAACATCTGACGAGAAGAGCTTAATTATTGACGATTAGTTTTATCCTGTGATTTAACTGTTGATTAGTTATTGTTTTGTATTCTAACGATTTTAACGATCGAACGAACGAGTGATCGATTACGGCAATTGCCAGCTCTGTTTTCTTTCTAATAAAGTCATCTAAAATAAGTCTGTTTAGGAATCAAGAATCCGCGTAAGAAAAATAACCATACCCTACAAGTTCAAGGGGTCGGTTATAACAGTATGTTTAGATTAGATCTCCTCTGCATCTTTTTTTTCTAATGATGTTAAGTCGCATTTTTTCAATCTCTCATCGTAATCCATTTTTCCGATTCCTCTAATTATTCTTACGGCTCTACGTTGTACTTTTTCTAAAATTTCCTTATTTTTATTGTAAAAATAAAATCACAAATAAGAGAGAACATGATTTATATCAAAACTTTTTTTCTTTAAACTAAATATTTCTACAATATGTCTGGCATCTAAATTTAAATTGTAGTGGACTTGATCCAAACTTTTCCTGGTTAAGCCGATGTTTCTAGTGACTATATTTTTTCTGTTTTTTTTATTTTGTTTCAAATTTTTAAAAAAATATATCTCAAAATTTGCCGATTCCTTAAATCTGCCGCCCTGGGATATAGCCCATTTAGCCCATACGTAAATCCAGGCCTGATGTAAACCTGCGTTTATCTGTAATAACTTCTGCAATTTCGAAGCATATGACATGATTGGATTTTTTTTCGAAATCTGAAATTCATCTATCTGTTCTTAAATACATGAAATTTCAACCATCGAGACAGTCGATAGTTTATAACAGGGCATGATAAGCATTAAATTTTTCAATTAAAATGATATGCAGCTGGACTGAATGATTCACACATCAACTGAATTTAGTTTAAATTCTTTTAAAGCAACATTTTGATTACAAACATAACAAGATAATACTCCTCTGTCATTGCTACTCGTAAAAAAATTGACATTTTTGTAAAGATTGATGTATAATATTTTCATAATTTTTATACCATTTGAATTATTAGAACGTTATGAAAGTAGAATTCTATTTACAAAACAAATATTGTTTTAAAGTTGTTTACTATTAATGTTTTTAATAACAATGACTTTTAAACCCGCATGTGTCTGCTGAACAAACATAAATAAATATGTCTACTGCTCTTCTAACAGCAATGTCGTTATGTTGCACAGATGCTACAAACAAGTATATATATTGAGTAATTAACTATATCATGCCACAATAAAGTTTAAGTTTATTATTTTTCAAACTTATTTAAAGATCTATTTGCACACCATTTGATAAATAATTAAAAATTACATTCATGGTTCAAGCAAATTTTTGTTAAATTAGACAAATTTTAAGTAGTTTTCTTTTAATTTTTGCGTACTAAATAAAGATTTATTTTAGATTGTGTACCAGAGACACGTTATTTAAGGAACAATATGCAATTAAATCAGTCAATAAATAAAAACTGTATTTATGATTCAAGTGATTTCTTGTTTCATTAGACAGTTTTTTAATATTTTTTTTCTAGTTTTTTGAGTGTTTTTTTAGATAGGATGCCTGGGCTGCATTTGTTAAAAATCATATGCCATATAGAATGCGTATGCGCATGCACATCATTCAATTTTTATCTAAACGTTTTTCAAAGATTTAAAAGCCACGAAAAGTTTAATCTAGATCTATATGTGTACGTCATAGAATTATAATTCAATGGTGTACATATAATTTTTCATTCATATTTTGTTCTATTATTAATTAATTAATTAATTAATTTTTTTTAATAATGTCATTTATCTTATTAAAAAAATTACACGTTATACAATTACAATGGTTTTTATATGCAATAATGATTATGGTTTCAAGTTTAACAACACTTTCTCTTTTTTCACTATCTTTTTGTTCATAATTTGTAGGTCAAGTTCTTTGTCTTGTCTAAGCTTTTAAGCTTTTTGCAGTTTCTTTTTATGATTGTGTTGTCGATGTCGTTTGTTATTCGTTAGTTAGATCTCCAAACTATTATTGACTGTTTTTTTTTATAAGTTAACCCGCTTTAATTGTTTATATTTTGTTGATTCTGTTCGTTGATGTATTATTATATCGTTGATTTTGACCATATTTGAGAATGTCAAGAAAGGTTGGCTTATCAGAATTCACGTCACAGCGTTTGGCGGAGTTGAAAGCCAGAAGAGCAGAAGCAGAGATGTCAGATAACAACACCAGCCACGTTTTAATAGCATCCTCCACAGCACCTAGTGACGGCCCCAATCTTCCAGCTACAAGCTCCGTTTCTGTTGAAGCACCTGTCATCGCTCCTAAGCCAAACTTGGCCTCATTGAATAAAGATGTGTACAGATCTGCTGTACCAATTCAACGCAAAGAAAATAATGTTGTTGCTGCTGGAAATGAACATGTCGACAAAACTTTACCACCATTGGCCCATGCTGGCCCAGTTGTTGAACGTGTTCAATCTCCTATGGTGGCCACAAAAATGAAAGCTTCAGCAGACTCTGATAAATATAACACTGAGGAGGTTGAATATATTTTGTTTATGTCATTTATGATTATTAAAAATTAAAATCATTATTTAAAATGAAACTTTTGATTGTAATATAAAACAGTTAATTAACTGAAATGTGAAAATGATTTCACTCATATCATTTATTTTATAATTAAGGAGGATGGAGATAATTTAGGATTTGCATGCTTACCAGATCAAATTCATAGAAAGGCTATCAAAAAAGGATTTGACTTTACTATTATGGTTGTTGGTAAGTATCACATTACAATTTACATCAATCAATCAACCTTCGTTTTGCGTCCAGAGACCCGGTTTCCCGAGGTAGGACGTTGTTTTCTTTGCCATCTACTTTTTGCGTCAAATTAGACGATCAGTTGTATCCATTTCATTTAAATTTAGAGATTTCATGTCTTGCTCGATTGTTGGCGACCAGGGCTTTTTTGGACGGCCTTTGGGACGTGTGCCAGGTACTTCAACATCTGCAAGAGAAGTTATGGCTTTGTTTCCACTTTGTTTGACATGACCAAACCACCGCAGACGGTGTTGCCTGCATTCGTTCTTTATATCATCTAAACCAGCACGACGCAGGATTTTGGTAGATTTGATGTGGTCCTTCAGACTAATTCGTTGCATCCATCGGAGCATTTTCATGTCGGTTTGTTAAAGTTGTTGTTCCAGTTTGGTTGTCATTGGCCATGTTTCTGTACCATATAACAACACCGGACGTATCACAGATTTATAAAGTCTTGATCGTAGTGGTAGTGGGATATCACGCTGCATCAATTTAGAGGCAAGCTTCAGCTGTTCCAGTACAATCCAGAACATCCCCTAGATATTGAAACGATGTGACTTTCTCTATTTTAATGGCTTCAAAAACAGTGCTGTTTCGAATTTTTTGTTGTGGATTGATGCAAGCAGGACAAACAAAATTGGACACTTTAGATAAAGTACCAATTATTTTTGAACAACGTTTGTGACACCACTGGTTACACTGCTGACACTTGATTGAATTGTCACCTACACCAGCTTTACAAACTGAACAGGGCCATCGTCCAGTAGCTGTGGATTGGATGGGTTCACCAGTGTTCATTGCTTTGGTTTTGCTGATGTTGACTTTGAATCCATGATCGGCGAGTCTGGTGTTCCAATCTTCAAACATCTGTGCTGCATTCTGCTCGAAGTTGGCTGTTAAAACAATATCATCAGCATATACTAGTTTCCAAATGTCACCGTTGCGTATCGGTTTTGGAATTTCTTCCATCACAGTATTAAATACAAGTGAACTGAGATCGAGCCCTTGTGAACTCCCAACGCCATGTCAAAATCATCTTGGTTTCCAACCCGTTGTCCGATTGGGAGCTTTAGTATTGTATACAATTTCATTACAAAGCGAAACAAGATATTCTGGAATGAGTTGTTGACGTAGACTCCACCTGATTGCTTGACGGGGAACTCGATCAAATGCTTTTTCAAGGTATACAAAAATGTGTAACAGTTGTTGATGCTTTGCGAGGTACTTCTCTTGCAGTTGCCGAAGGATGTGAATTGCATCAATTGTTGATTTCCCCGCTAGGAAACCAAATTGATAATTTCCGATTGTGATGCACGACGTTAATCTTCTCTCAATGATTTTCTCGACAATTTTCAGGGAGTGTTCTAACAAGATACCCAGATATGACGAACAGTTCAATGGATCACCTTTGCCTTTGTATAGCGGGACTGTCATGCTATAGTTCCATTCAGTCGGCATTGAGCAATTTCTCCAAATTTCACGGCAAGGTTGTAGTAACGTTTGGATACCTGCAGTACCAGATGCTTTGATAATGTCATTTGTGAGTCCTGCTGCCTTTCCATCCTTCATAGCTTTCAGAGCTTCTGTAAGCTCCTCTACAGTGATGTCTGGAATCGGACCTTCGATGGGTGGAGCTTCAAAGTTAACTTTGATGAAATTTGTTTCGTTTAACAGATGGTTGAAGTATTCTCTCCACTGTAGCTTGATCTCATCTTGTTCAAGAACCATCTCATTTTTGTAATTTTTAATACATGAGGCACCAACTATATCTTTTTTCGTACGGTTAGCTTGTTTTGCTATACGATACATAGATTTCATTTGTTCACCTTTGCTTTTAGTGAGCCACTCTCTGCACTGATCTGTCCGAGCCAGTGCAACATGATGTCTTGCATAGTTGTTCTTCTCACGGAAAATTTTATGGTCATCAACAGACTTTGATTTTTGCAATTGCTTGTATGCAACTTTCTTTTCAGCTATTGCATTTTGTACACTGTCATTCCACCACCAAGTGTCCCGTTCATGCTGACGTTTTGTACCAGTTTTCCCACAAACTGTAGTTGCAGCGTTCATCAAAATGGTTTTGTATGTACTCCAATCTGTACTGGCTTGCGATTGGTGGTCTAACTGTGTGGCGACAATCTGTTGAAATTTTTCTCGATGAACATTTCTTTTTATCTTCCACGTTTTGATTCTCCAAGGCATTTGTTTAGACTTATGTTTTGACAGTTCGACAACCAGGTCTGCCACAAGGAGTCTATGTTTGGCGACACATGATTCGCCAGGTATAACTTTGACGTTTTTGAACAGCCTTCGGTGTGGTTGCTTGACAGCGAAGAAATCAATTTGCTTGGCTGATGGTCCACTTTTGTATGTCATGAGATGTTCCAACCTCTTTCTAAAATATGTGTTCAGTAAACAAAACCCGTGACTTTCAGCAAACTCAAGAATGCTGTTGCCATCTTCATTCGTTTTCCATAGCCAAAACCGCCATGTACGTTGTCAAAACCATCTGTTTTCTCTCCAACGTGGCCATTGAGATCGCCTCCAATCAGGATTGTTTCAGATTTTGGTATTGTTGAGATGGTGTCAGAGAATGCAGTCCAGAAGTCATTTTTCATCTCTTCTGATTCGCCTGTCTGGTGCGTATGCAGAAAAAATAATCATTGTTTGCTTTTCTATGCGAAGCTTGATCCACATGAGACGTGAATTAATCCTTTTAATATCCAGTACTTCTTAGGTTAGCGGTTCTCTGACAAAAATTCCAACACCAATTTGGCCGTCTTTTGACCATTCCAGAATAGTTTATATTTTTCTTTGTCTGAGTTGACATGACAGACACCATTCGATTTCCATCGGGTTTCCTGAAGGCAGCAGATGTCAATCCTTCTACGCTCGAGCATTTCTGCGATTTCCATACTGCGGCCAGTCAGTGATCCAACATTGAGCGTTCCAAGTCTAAGTACCATGGAGGGACCGTTCTGAATTTTTCTGCAACATCCCTCCGCTATTTCATACTTCCCAGGGATTCTTAGCACCCCTTGACCACTTAAGGCCTGCTGGGGACTAGGGGCCGTTGTTTTTCTTTGTGATGGCATAGGAATAATTTGGGGAAAAGTTTTTTTTACATCCGGACACCCATCCTGACGACAACCACCAGTTATAAGCGGTGGGCCTAGCTTTTCGCTCAAAAGCATGCAAGGCAGCGTGGATGCAGTTTTATGTCATACCCAGGACCCAATGAACAATTTAATTTACATAACATTACAATTATACAATATATTTATTTTGATTTATTGCATAATTTCTATTGTAAGGTCTGGATAAGAAATAATAATGTCGTTACTATTGTTTATCCAGTGACAAATATTCATAATTGTATTGGAGAACTTATATTTATAGGGCAGTCAGGGCTTGGCAAATCAACTCTAATCACAAGTATGTTTTTCAACAAAGATTTGTACAATGACAAGGAGATTCCATTTGCTGAGGGTTTGTTTGTTCATTAATGTGTTTGTTCATTGATATGTTTGTTCATTTATGTGTTTGTCTATTAGTGTGTTTTTTCATCAGTGCCTGTTCATTAATGTGTTTGTTCATTAGTTTGTTTGTTCATTATTGTGTTTGTTTATAAATATGTGTGATCATTAATATGTTTGTTCATTAAGGTGTTTGTTCCTTAATGTATTTGTTCATTAACGTGTTTGTTCATAAATATGTGTGATCACTAAAATGTATGTTCATTAAGGTGTTTGTTCATTATTGTGTTTGTTCACTGATGTTTTTGTTCATTAATGTGTCTGCTCATTAACCTGTTTGTTCATTAGTGTTTTTGTTCATTAACATGTTTGTTCATTAATGTGTTCGTTTGTTAATGAGCTTTTTTTATTATTGTGTTTGGTCATTAACGTGTTTGTTCGTTAATGTGTTTGTTCATTATTGTACTTCTACATCATTGTGTTTGCACATCATAGTTCTTGTTCATTTAATGATTTAAATCTCAGCTTTAAAAGTTATTTGGTCTCTGACGCTATGCATAGGGCACTGCACATATGACATTATTATTATCTTATCATTATTATTATTGTGTCGTCAATTGAACCAAAGAGTTGTATTTTCACGGCTTACCATTTTTTAGGCAGGGCAGTGGTTAAGGGGCCTAGTATTGCAGATGCAGTGACCAGGTTTGAATGTTATGAGATCCCCACATATTGCATGCAAAAAAGTCTGATGTGTTTCACTTGTGTTTATATACACTGTGTGTTTGTTGTAAATGCGCCTCAATCACTTGTCATGGCGCTATATAAAATGACATTATTACATGACCGCAAAGTTGAAGTCATCGAGTTGATGGTGTGCCACAAAACAAATTTGATTTGATCTAGAAACTACGAACAATTGAAATTCAGTAATAGTTTGAGATCATGTTCGAACGCCAGTTATTAGAAATGCAGTTTTATTTAAAACATTTGGAATAACTCTGATTGGCTTTTACAATACTTTTAATCTGACAATAATTAAGACTGCATGGCCTTTTTCATTTTTTAACAAATTAAATGACCCAGTTGTTAAATGGACACATGCCATTTATTGCAAAAGGAACAGTTTATAATCATTTAAATAGGCTACCTCATGCGCTTATCATAGACGAGCATTGTGGTTTTTATTGTACATTGTTTTTTATTTTTAATGTTTTTTGAGCTGACCACAGCGGTGGTACCGCTGAGCCTGTGGTCTCTGATCATTGGTCATGTTTAGTGTGTGGGACTGGATTTAGAAGCAACTTGATCAAATGCCTATGATGTCAGCAGTGGTGTCACAAACGATGCTCGAGAATTAACGGCTCACTGAGGAAAGTGACTGATTTCGTATGCCCCGCCTGCATCAACCCGCGACAACGGAGCTCAGATAATGATACTATTACCGGGATCGAAATTGTTGCTTCATTTCAGTATTTGGGAGATATGCTGGATTGTACTGTAACAGCTGATGCCGCCGTTCGTAGACGCATACGTGCGGCGTGGGGCAGATGGCACCTCCTTGCCTCGGTACTGATGCGGCGTAGCATTCCTTTACCGCTGCTCTCCGAGCTATACAACACAGATATACGTTCTGTTCTGATGTATGATGCAAAGGTAACAACAAAACATTGACAACAAAACTCGAACAGCAGCTTCACCAAACTGACATGAAGATGATTCGTTGGATGCAGCATGTTGACCTAAAGGACCATATCCATACAACCTTAATATTATTATTTTGAATCTTTCTAATTTCATTGGTCATTATTTTATCTATTGTTGAATTGTTAAAATTATTGTTGACAAGGAATTGTTTTATTTTATCGAGTTCTTTACGAAATTCAAGTGGTTCAGAGCTGTGTGAATATGCCCGTCTGACATACGATATCACACTATTCTTATACCGATCTGGACACTCGCTATTTCCTTTCATGCATATCCCATTGTTGGTTGGTTTGACGTAAACAGATGTGCGAAATGTGTTGGGTGTTAACTGATCAATTAAAATATCAAGATAGGTCAATTTATTGTCATTACTTTTTTCCACAGTAAATTTTAAACATGAGTTAAGGTGAAACAATTTATTCAGCTGTGTTATATCTCTCTCAAATTTGGTTATGACAAATATATCATCGATATATCTACAATATACGAGAGGTTTACGATAACGCTTGAAGATTTTGTATTCAATTGTTCCCATATAAAAATTTGCGAACAAGACTCCCAGTGGAGACCCCATAGCTACGCCATCGGTTTGCACGTACATGTGTCCAGCGGGGCATACAAACGGTGACTGCTTCGTGCATATTTCTAACAAACGTTTTAGATCCTCTTCTCTAATATCCAAACATGGAGTTGTATCATCGCGATATACTCGATCAAGTATATATTGTATTGTAGTATCAACCGGCACGTTTGTGAAAAGAGATTCGACGTCATATGAAGCCATCGTTCCCGAATCTCGATTTGCTTTCAACAATTTGATGACATCAGTTGATCTTTTGACACAATAATTGTCAGGTACATATGGTGTGAGAATAGTGTTGAGCTGTTTTGCGATGTGATAAGTGGGAGTTGGGCATTGACTAATTATAGGGCGTAAGGGATTGTCGGGTTTATGTGTCTTTACGTTACCATAGATGTAACCGGGAGAGAAATCACCAATGAGTTTATTGTATTTTATTCCAATTTTATTCAAATTTATTCCAATTTTATTTTACCTTCATCACGAAATGTTTAATTTATTATTATTATTATTAACATAATATTGCACATATAATATATTTTATTATGTTATATTTCAAAATAATTGTTTATTATACTTAATTTAACTACTTACGTTATTTAACTTTAATCGTTACGTTACTTTCGCGCTCAACTCTTATTACGTCATCTGACAGTTTATTGTTATGTTTTATTTGAATTAATATTAAATTGCCTGAAGATGAATTATAAAATTCGAAACGTCGCTTAATAAATAATTATATAATGAATATTGGTGTTCTAATTTTTAATTTAAATTATAATTATAAAAAACTAATAAGAAAAATAGAAAATCTTAATAAAAAATTAAATAACAATAATATAAGCATCGCGTTTAATGAAATATGCTTAAATGAAAATTTGTTACCGAAATTTACTGATATTTATTTATTTATTTATATATATATATATATATATATATTTTTAATATATATATATTATATAATTATTTATTTATATATATATATATTTTTTTAATATATATATTATATAATTATTATTATAATGTCATGTCATATATATATATATATATATATATATATATATATATATATATATGACATAACAAAATGTTCATAAATATTAAATAAATAAGTAGCTTGTTAGAGTTCCTCACCGTCGTTCATTTTGTACTCGTTGTTTTGGCCGATGATGTTATTTCAATTATTAAATTTGAATTTATTAAATTGAAAGATACCTTCTCAGCAGATTATCTGCTGTCTGATTATAATTATATTGCAAATAGATTGCCTTCTGGTGTTGCTGTTTTCTAATTTTAAACATAAGATTAAAACGGCCAATTTAGGTTGCCTTTTCGCGTGTACGGTGCAGATGCGGTGCGGATAATGAGCAATGTGGATGCGGTCAGTTGCGGACGTGAAGTCTGCAGTTGCGGACATTAACTCTGCGGATGCGGGTGGTTGCGGTTTGGAAAAATCTTATCTGCTTGAGGCTCTACTTCTTTCGACTGCAAACCTGGCACGATGGATGCGAATCAATGATCCACGGTGCAAACTCTGCGACTCTGGTAGACCACAGACAAGCAAACACGTTCTTTCGAATCGTGAATCACAGATAGCTTTAAATAGATATACTAAACGTCATAATTCCATTTTAGAAGTTCTGGTTGATTGGTTGAAATCTGTTAAAAAGCCCAATCAAAACCTGTTTGCCGATGTAATGACGACTGAAGTTAAACCAATTTCAGATATTTTCAATCCATCATATCGCCCGGATATTTGCATAACGGAAAATAGATACGTGTACGTACTAGAACTCACAGTTTGCTACGAGAAAAATCTTTTAAAAAGCAAACTATTCAAACTTAACAAATACAAAGATTTAAATGTCAAACTACTCAATAAATATGAAAATTTCATTGTCAAAATCTTTTTCTGGGAAGTATCCACGCTTGGCTTTGTTTCCGATCTCAAAGAACCCATTAAATATCTTAAGCTGTCACCTTTGCCAGATGATACACTCAATAAATTTATGAAGAGCGCTATAATTCTATCTTTTGACATTTAATGAAATAGGATTAATTTATGTTAAATCTTTCGCATGGAAATGCTAAATAAACATTTTATGAGCCTTCATAGTGACCTGAATTGAATCAATAACAATTTTCTCTTATTAACGGAGGGAGTTTTTAAATTTTCTGTTGATGATGTCGATTTTTTTTCAAAATAAAAGAAGTTTTCATTATTATTATTATGATTATTATTATTGTTGTTGTTGTTGTTATTATTATTATTATTATTATTATTATTATTATTAGTACTAGTAGTAGTAGTAGTAGTAGTATTTGTTTCTTCAAAATGTAGTGAATTTTTAATAACTTTTATTTTTTCATGATGTTTATAGGTGATGCTGTTTTTGGATCTTTTATTTTTTGTGTAATTTTAAAAATACAAGCAAAAGCAATGAACACTGGTGAACTCATCCAATCCACAGCTACTGGACGATGGCCCTGTTGAGTTTGTAAAGCTGGTGTAGGTAACAATTCAATCAAGTGTTAGCAGTGTAACCAGTGGTGTCACAAACGTTGTTCAAAAATAATTGGTACTTAATCTAAACTGTCCAATTTTGTTGTCCTGTTTGCATCAATCCACAACAACAAATTCGAAATAGCAATGTTTTTGAAGCCATTAAGGTAGAAAAAGTCACATCGTTTCAATATCTAGGGGATGTTCTGGATTGTACTGGAACAGCTGAAGCTGCCGTTCGAGCACGCCTATGTGCAGCCTGGAATAAATGGCATCTCCTTGCCTCTATATTGATGCGTCGTGACATCCCACTACCACTACGATCAAGACTTTATACATCTGTTATACGTCCGGTGTCGTTATATGGTACAGAACCATGGCCTATGACAACCAAACTGGAACAACAACTTCAACGAACCGACATGTAAATGCTCCGATGGATGCAACGAATTAGTCTGAAGGACCACATAAAATCTACCAAAATTCCTGCGTTGTGCTGGTTTAGATGATATAATGGACGAATGCAGGCAACACCGTCTGAGGTGGTTTAGTCATGTCAAATGAAGTGGAAATAGTGCCATAACTTCTCATGCAGATTTTGAAGTACCTGGCACTCGTCCCAAAGCGTCCAAAGAAGTCCTGGTCGCAAACAATCGAGCAAGACATGAAAGCTCTAAATTTAAATGAAATGGATACAACTGATCGTCTAATTTGGCGCAAAAAGTAGATGGCAAAAAAAACAACGTCCTACCTCGGGAAACTGGGTCTCTGTAAGAAGATTGATTGATTGGTAATTTTAATGAAAAAAATGAAACGTTTCTACAAAAAATTATAATTGTATGGTTTTGTGTGTGTTTGCTTAATTAAATTACTACACAATAACTGCAGCGAATTACATTATTGAATAGTGTACTTGATTTGTTTATGCAATTCTCAATAGAAATTTTCTAAATCAAATTTACGATTTTTATTTATTGTTAACTATTTCAAATTGGTGACCTAAGTAAGTAATCAACATTTAATCATTCCAATTAAATGCCTGTGTGTATGTATTTATCTTGAAATATTTTTGCAGCATTTTTTTTATTTCTCCATAGATTACTACGCAGCATTTTTGCTGGTAACAATTATTATAACCAACGATCATCATCAAAAGCGTTATCATGTCTACAAATTAATTAATTATTATTATAAGCCTTATTATTGTATTTTGTTGTCTACAGTTACGATCACAGACAATTTAATATGCATTGTCATCTTATTTATTATTTCAAATGGCATTTATCATCATTCTACAATATTATTATTCATTTATTTAATTTATACTTATGCATGTTTGGCAAAATCTCAAATTGTCCGTTCAAAATATAAGTTTCTCTTTATAAGTTTTCAATAATGACAAGCCATGCATTTTTGGTGAATGCAGGGTCAAAGTATATGTATATGTGTAGATACTTGTTATGTGTGTGTTTAAAGGTAAGTTTTGCAAGTTTGGTGTTTGTATTTGACAGCCTTTTTTTATTCTTGTTCTAACCTGAGCACTCTCGTGTAGAAAATTTTGAAAAGGAGTCTCAGATTCACTAAGAATTAGGAGACCTTCAAAACTTATTGTGGTGTATTAGAGTTATCTGAGCTGAATCTGTCATTAACAAGACAATGGTATGTGCCTTGATTGGTTACATCTAATCCAGTGAAATTTAAAAACCGTAGCTTCTCAGAGAAACGAGAGTTTGAAAGAAGTTTAAAATATATATGATAGAATAAAATGATTTTAACATACATTATGATAGAAGTCATGCTAAATCTTTCATATTATTCTTCAGCTAAATCATTCAATCAATCTTCGTTTAGCGTCCAAAGACCTGGTTTCCCGAGGTAGGACGTTGTTTTCTTTGCCATCAACTTTTTGCGCCAAATTAGACGATCAGTTGTATCCATTTCATTTAAATTTAGAGCTTTCATGTCTTGCTCGATTGTTTGCGACCAGGACTTCTTTGGACGGCCTTTGGGACGTGTGCCAGGTATTTCAACATCTGCAAGAGAAGTTATGGCTTTGTTTCAACTTCGTTTGACATGACCAAACCACTGCAGACGGTGTTGCCTGCATTCGTCCTTTATATCATCTAAACCAGCACGACGCAGGAT